GGCTTCATAAGTGATGGAAGTTTCTTGTTAATCTAAACTCAATCATCATGCAATGTTTGTAACTAAATTAAATAATGTGCCTCACCTCCCACTTTGAAAAAAGCTAACATAAAACTAGATTTCGAGTACCAAGGAGAAGTTTTCGAAAATCGCTAGGTTAATGACGAAGTAATTCGAACAACGTGGTCGAAAAAATGGCATGGGAAGTCGGAACCTTCATCCAAGGTCAAGTTGATGCAATTGCATAATACAATTAGACACATTAAAAGAAGTTTCATATGTCCCGGCTGCATTTCCACAACATTCACTGATACAGTGATACCTGCCAGTGTCGTGAATAGTTTTTTCTCATCTAAAGTTGTGAGTTTTTAAGAACAAAAAAAAAAGTGCGAGTTTTTAAGAACAATGCGTTCTTATACATTCTAAGGCATTATGAAAACTCGTCACCCGGGGCCCTAGATCAAAGTTTCCGCCGGACCTTTAATTGTTCTGCAGAACATAGAACAACTTCTGGGTCTAGAAGATCAGAGCATGCAGATAAAAATGTTCGTATGTAACTTTTAAATCTTTATGACTTGGATTTATATGAGGCTTCATTCAGTTAGTTTTTTTTTCTTGAATAAATTTCTAGATACAACAGGATCCATTCACTACTATAACGGTGCTTCAGCATAAAAAAATTTGAATCCTCCTCGAAAAATATAATATCAATGGGGATAAACATGTCACATAATCCTGCAAATGGTCTTTTCTATACCACATTTGCATTTTGTCATCCATTAGCAAAATAGATGCTGAAATGCCGATGGGATTTCTACTTGAATTTACGTGCTCGAATTTATTTGTTCACTTACGCTCATTAGTTACTCATCCAAATGTTTTTTTCAATGCAAATCATCAATTGAAAAACGATTGGCCTAATTTTTTTATTCAACACTGAATCCTCTGATATTCAATTGCAGAAAAATTCTTAGTCATGACCAGTCCAGAAAATTTGTTACAAGGAAGAGCATGAAACATGAATATATAAATCACTTGCACTTCAACACTAGAAAAGCGTGATCTGAACCATTTATTCAAATGCTTTCTTTGAAATACATGAATAAGCTTTATTTGGATAATATAAAATATTTTCTCTAATATTTTATGATCTTTCGATATTTTAAGATTATTATCGAAGGACAGTATTTCGAATTATCCGCTCATGGTAATTAATTCGTCAAAGTCCAGTTTTGGAATTCTCTTGCCTAAAAAACTCGTGTAATTAGCGCTCGTCCGCAGGCATCAAGTTTTACCAACTCCAATCGAAAGCCGCGCTCCCAAAATGAACATATCGAAATTATTTTTCCGCAAAACTTCTCATTCCGATCTAAAATGTAACGTAACGTAACGGTATTTTCGATAAAAACATGACGCAGGTACCATTTTTTATTATTTGTTATGAAAGACTTTCCAAATAATCGGTATTTCATATCAAATTTAAATCACATTGCGCATCAAGCATATTTTTTAGTAGAAAATCTTAAATTTCTCTATGCATAATGGGTAGAAAAACACTATCGCGGTTGAACTTCAGAAACAACACATTAAGCATTTTTACGATCAGGTCTGAAGTAATGTAATTTCTAAACATAGGCACGAAATTTAAAAATAAATGTTTTCCTCGAAGCAATTTCGTGCTCAGTCAGTAGTTAGTCGATTACCTCTTCAAAATAAAGACAGTAGAAAAATAATATGCCAGACCTTTTGCGCACAACTGGACAATAAAAATTATGCTTATTTATATCTATATATACAAGAGAATTCATATGAATACAAATTGGATTCAATTACTATAAAATCAACTCCGATATTTATCACGCCGTTACTCTATTTCTTGTTCAATTTTTGTCTAAAATGTAATCTTGAATAACACCAAAATTATTGTGCGTTAGTGTTGGGTTCACCGGGATACATCAACTCGGCTAGTCAGGTCGTACGGCACACAAATACACGTAAGGATTAATAAGAATATAACTGAAAACTGTAATAATGATTAAACTTCAATAACAACAATAAATCATGTTTCCTTAGCTCTTATCGCCCTGAAATGATTTCGGGTTCTAAATTCGATCCCTCTCTGCGAATAAATAAATAAACAAATTAACGACTGTTTCTCACTAATAAAGCAAGATATACATAACTTGAAACTCGGAACAAATAAATAATAGACTGGTAAAAAATAGTCTTTCTGACTTATAGAAAATGCCACTAAATCGATACAGGATTATCATAATATGAATAGAAAATATTTAAACACCTACCCTCGGTGGTGGAACAGAAAGCTATGATAGTGTAAAAGACGTGGCTAAAGGATTTGACGTTTTTGACGTTATCCAGAGGTGACTCAGAATCGAAACTAGAATTACCAGACTTGCATTAAAACCAAATATTGCACAACGTTTGTAACATTTTAATTATTGCGGGTCATCAAATATCAGCGAAGCAATTACCTTCAAATCAACACAAATTAAGAAATCATTGGTTATTAGATAGAAAGAAATTACGTACAATTAACGTACGTAATTTATACGTAGATATAAAATATATACATGCGTAACATTTATTTTGAGAGGTGAGCTAAACTGAACTAAAATTAAATTTTTATTGATATAATCATCAAAAGTGTAAGCCTTATTTTAATTAATGGAGAAAAGTCTACAGTCTTTGGGATTTTTAAGGTATTGCTTAGCGGCGAGCATGGCAGCAAAGCAGCTTTCCGTCACATTTTGCTGCCGTACGCGTCTTCTATTTTACATAATTAGACGGCACGCTCGGTATGACGCTCCGTCACTCGCGTTAACAAGATCCTCGTCTTGTAGTGGATGGGACTTCCTAATTTGGTCCTTCATAAAAATGTATGAGCAGCAACAGCGTTGGACCCGATATATTACGCTTGTTTTAGAAGCATTTCTGCCCACTTTTTTGAAACTTCAACGAAACTTAAGCGCGACAACGCACTTTACGTTGATTACATGGCGCAATATTAAGCCTATATCCGTTGTTCGAGAAATTCAGGCTTCAGAATTTCGTTTCTGCGCCGCAATGACACACTTGGCGGGCTGTGCCTGCACATGAAATACGACTTCGCTCGACACCGTAACGTTAGGAACCTGCGTGGCTAAACGGAGCTTTGGTTGTCGGGTCAAACGAGAAATTTAATAATGGCTTTGTTCGTATAGAGTTGCTAACAGTTATCGTTCCTAATCATTATTTTTTGGCTTCATATTACTATCTATTACAACTAAAAAGCTCTCGCATGTTGAAAACATACATGTATAGTCGTTTCCTCACCGATAGCATACATTTTATTAAGAATATCAATTTATAATTCAGTTTTTGTAAAATTTGCTCTATACAAATATCTTTGAAACGGAATTATCTCTAGAGACGTGACATCTCTTGATGAATGAGTATCCGTTCTCCAGCAATCATCGTATCTGCATTTATTACAATATCGCTAGGTGGTCATTAGCGAGACAGTTCTAAATCAAAAAAAGTCCCTTGATCCACCATGAACTAGAGGAAAATCCTTCGGTCCAGGAAGTGAATCTTCAAAAGTTTGCTACTTTTTTCCTGAGTTGAAGACTGGAAAATTTTCCTGGGTGAAGGCTGGATTAGAGACTGACTGTGTAGAATCCTGCTCTGCATCTCAGCGTATCGAGCCTCACGTTTTTCGACCTCGTCTACATTGATTGATTCAGTTGATTTGAAAACGGCAAGTTAACGTTCAACGTTTCAACGGAAGATCTTATTAACGCATTTTCTCATTTATGGAAAAAAGGCGCTATTGTGCTCGCCATATCCGTCTGTCCGTCTGTCTGTCTGTCCGTCCGTGACTTCACGTTTTCGCCGACGAGAAAATGCGCTCTCTGTCACTCACTGCAGTGAGTAATGAGTTATATTTTTTTAGTTGCGATTAGATGGTGCCGAGGGAGAAACTACCTATCCTGCTCAAATTAAGCCAATAGATTTTTAGGTTTAAATCCTGGGCTAATCCTGGAACTTACCATTATCATTTATCGATAGCTAGTAATAACTCGTTCCTTCGCGATGATTTATTGAAGTTTTTCTTATTCATTTATCATGAAATATATACTAAAACGAAGATAAAATTATTCAATATCAAACAACAAATATCTATTAAGAAAGAAACAAAATATTCTAAACTAATTTTTTATACTATATTCCATGATTGATAATACACAGTTATCGAAGTTAACGCAACACTTCAAAAATTGATAATTTAGTCCCAATTATTACAATAGCCGGCAATCAGAACAGATCATTTATTTCAGTCTCCCGTACGTTTCTTACTTCACGCCGACTTGAAACCTGCAGTCGACACCAGTCCTGAAACCTCAGAAAATAAAGCGCCTCTGTCAGCGTAGTTTGTAGAAAAAAACGAGAGGCTTTGTAAGGCTTTGGGTGCTCCAATTCTACTTAAAATAATTGACGAGCCATGTAGTCCAGTCTCACCATTTGCAGACGTGCACGTAGTGCCAATGTGACGAAAAATAACCCGAGCTGACAATAATTTTGTTCATTATGAAGCTTTCGCGGGAAAATATTACATGAATTAAAGGTCTCGTGATTATAATGGAGCGATTTTGTTGCTGGCGTAGCAAAGTTAAATTATTTTAATAGTTGTGTGTGTGAAAGTTTCAAATACTTTCCTGATTTCAAACTACAATGGCTTGATTTAGAATCCTTTGGGATTCGAAATTTTCTGTGACGTCTAGATACTGTAGATTTATTTAGATTTATTTGTATTATTATATATCACATATAAAAGCACTCTTCAGAAGTATTAGACTTTAAATTGCAAGTGATTATTAGTAATAAAAATGTAAAGCAACCAAACCTGGGTGATATTTGACCACTATTTGTTTTAGTTATCCGTTATCAAAGTCTTCCAGCGTTTTTAACATTACCTTTTGAATATTTCAGAGATAGATTTTGCCCTGTTTTGAGATAACATTGATATAAATCTTCATGCAGCAGCACACGCCAATTTCATATACATGTGAAATGAAGAAAACCTACGGATACGCCTTTCTCCAACAAGTTAGCTTCGTCTCATTTTCTTAAGCATTAATTAAGTTATCTTGGTCGACTCATACTTGTATTAAATTCCCCACTCATTGACTGCACAAATGAATTCAACTAGAAGCTCTTCAAATTCAGGGCTGACAGCCCCGTAAAAATATTTGCAAGTACGAGACCGCTGGACCGCGGCGCCATGTCTGTCATCTACGCCGCCTTCATCTTACTGATTGCAGGTGAGAATATACGAACTTTAAATAAGTTGTGTGGCGCTCATGTAATATTTTATTATAATATATAAAAACTAAAGATAAAGCAAACACATGAACTAATGTTCGTTAGCATAAACCTCTCGTAAATCTTCTCAGCATAATTTGAAAGCATTTTTTTATAGTTGGGGTTAAGACTTGTGGCGACAAATGCGCCCACCAGCTAAATTTTGAAAGCATTATAATGTATGTAGATTATAGCCTTTAGAATGTTTTTCATAGAACTGTCATTCATGGCATTTTTCAGAAAATTAATGTTTTATACATAAATTGCTTCCAAACATATTCAATATTCCGTTCCCCAAACCTTTGAACTTCGTTTTCACCAGAATATTGAGCACGATGCCAGCTAAAAATCAAACAAGATCGCAACATTGTTCCAACTTTCAGAATGTCTGTCCTTATTTGTGTTACTTTTCACAATAGCCAACTCAAAATTCGCAAATTTTTCTAGGTATACATTTATTTTGGAGTCAAAACCGGACAGATTATACTTGAATATATAACCAAACTGACATTTTTCAATATGTAGGTTGTCCAAACGAAATTTATAATGAAAATCCCAGCGTACTTTTTGGTTAATCTTTAAAACAAAATAGAAGCTGGAAACATGACATGCAAACTTGCCTCATTTAACTCATTTATCAAATTTTTAAAATGTTTTCCTTGCGATGATCTCCGTGGTTTGTACACTAATTGCACTAGAAAATTATTAAACAGTTTCTGAACGGTCCTAAGGACGCATTTGTTTAACATTTTAAGAAGTATGCGATCTTTCCCTCAAAGAGTTTTAGTAAGTCGATTAATTTTCTAACTAACGCCCAACCCTTTTTTTAGGTTTTACATGCAGATATTATATTATATTTGCAGTTCGCGTATCCGTTATGACCAAATATTTTATTCTCTGTCGGCTTCATCCCCGTTTATTCTTTACTGGGGTCATCCATTTAATTATGTTGTCATTTTAGTGTTATATTTAACATGAGCGTTACTGTACATATATCCCAGACACAGGTCACCCCCAACTCGCGTTTTAATTTTGCATTCAATAGGCTGCTGCCTTAGATCTAATAATTAAAATTTTGTTTGGGCACGGTCGTGTTTTACAATAGCTCTTTTCCTTGCACGTCACTGAACATGACTCAGTTGCAGTTTACCACTTGGAAAGTTGTTTGTGAAATTACGGCTTGGCATTCAACAATTTTGCAACGGGTTAGACCAAGCATGACAGAAAAAAACATTCGTGAAACAACAGTCCCTTTGATCATAAATACAATTTGCAAATAGGACTGCCCGACACGTGTGATTTCATTGTATCTGTTATATGAATATTTTGAAATTGTAATTGTGAACTGGCGGAGTAAAACTATCCAAAGAGTTGTGGTTTCATGCATTACTGACAACGTTCGTCGCTCGCGACCAGTTGCTAGGATGTACCTTAATATCTATTACTATTTTTCTGCTGCACTCTGGTTATCAGTAGCATGACGTAAAGTTTGATGCACTTTCCCGACAGATAAAAAGCCGATGAGTAGGCTTGTAATTGTTGTATCTAATAAAACGCTTTAATATCTTGATATATTAACAGTCATCCAACATGCGAATTTGGAAGAAGCTAAAATTAAATATTTAGCCACAAGATGCTGATATAATATTTTCAAGAACTGTTCAGCTGTTGGGCGGTGCATTTCTGACAACGTTCCTACCCTTAAAACCATCGTCATTTGCTCAACTTAGGAACACATCATATTAACCCTCTGAATAAAGAAAGATTTTCTGTGTACTGATTATACTGATTTTCTGTGTTTCTGATTCTGTTTGCAGAGGAGCTCGGGAGAACGAGCGGGTTCTCCTTATCCGTTCCAATAGCACCGCCGGACTCTGATGGCGCTCAGCGTCTTCGGGCCAGAGGAACGTCGCTACAAAATCTGCAGCAACTCCTGCCCTCGGGACCGGTCCTGGCTGAAGGCCGAACAGAAGAAGATGACTCTGGAGGCGTGGTGACCTACAGTAATAACTCCGGGGTCGTGCTCAATTGTGCCGCTAAGGGAGATCCTGAGCCCAGCATCACGTGGAGGTTTCTTGACCAGAATCTCGTGAGGGAAATACCCGGAGTTAGGGAGGTGGGTTCAATTTATGAGAGCGGAATTTGAATAATTCAAATTTTAAAAATATTGGCCGTATCGTAGACATTATTGAATCATTCGACTAGTACTATATAGTAGTAGAAGTAATGCAGGAACTTCAACTTTTATTATTGCAAAATTGAGTGGAATGTATGATTTCAACTTTATCCCTTAAATATAGCACAATTAATTAACGATTATAGTTATATGAAGCTTTTAATTTCTATTGCTAATGGTGATAAAAAATTCAGACTTCTCCGAAAAGCTTATTAATTTTTTTACAAAAAAACATAATATTCTAATACTTGGCCTTTTTATTCATTGAAGGTTTCTGATTCTAACATTGTTTGCATGAATTTCCTTTTTACAAAAAAAATGGAATAATATGCACGTATTGTCGTCGGATAATTTTATTCGGCCAGATTATTGCAAAAAAAAAAAAACGGATTAAATTTTGAACTTCCGCATAAAATACATTTTCTACAGATATCGTTCTGATTTTAACTTCAGAGTCACCTCAAGACATAACCTCAAACAAAATCTAAGGGAATCTTTGATAAACTAATGTTTTCACTACATAATACATTATAATGCGATTACTTTTAAAAGGCTTATCTGCTCCTGACTTTAGAGCTGTTTAATATGAAAATTTTGCTCCAAATGAGATGAGATATGATCATCAGCACCGACGTGGTCAAGTCATTTATCGGGAACCCATATCACAGCAAGCAATAGTTCAGGGGCCATACTTTCAAAACTCGCCAAGTGAACGTAAGTACTTATGCTCTATTTTCTTGTCTATGATTGGTGCATTTTGCTTGAAAGGCCGTCTGTGATTGGCTGATGAACTTACGATCTCTTAACTTTTTTGAAAGTATAGGCTCTGATGCCCAGTTTGTCGAAGTTTGCCCTCGGAGGACAAACTTGCACTTGTATAGAACGAACTTTGTACTGTAGTCGACGAGCGTATCGGTGTCCGGGGAACTGTTCAAAAGATATACTGACGTGCGCAAAACACTTAACGTGGTTTGTGGCCGCTGTGGGAGTCCTGTCACCGAGCTTCCGCGCAATGAATTGTAAAGCGAGGAATTTTTTAAATGCAATACGCTGACGTTATACAAAATATTACCAAAGAGTAATTTAAACGTTGCAGATGAAAAGTTGCGAAATTGAGTGATACTTTCTCGTTACTATATCAGTTATGTTACGATGATGGAAAAAATTGTCACATAAATTCTTAGGAAGGCGATGACTTTCCATTGTTTCAGTAAATTTTTGTTCTTTTGTTCATTCACTTCTTATTATTTTAGTCTCAATTTAATCGGATTTTTTTTAGGATCGGATAAATTTTGAAATAATTCCAAATATATAAAACAATCATCACACGCTACATGCGAATAATAAATTCGTACCCGTATTCTTTATTTCTCCGCAGATAGCTGAGTTTATAGCCTCGACTTGGGTTGTCAGAAATAACCCTATTTTAATTTTAACCCATCCAAATTTTAAATTCACACAAATTTTAAATTTCATTGACAATTCTATCTCCGGAATAATTTTCGAAAATGTTCTGGCTTTTCAGATTTTGTCTAACGGGTCGCTGGTGCTGCTGCCGTTCAGTGCGAGTCAGTACCGCCAAGACGTGCACGCCGGCGTGTACCAGTGCGCCGTCTCCAACCCCACCGGCACCGTCCTGGGGTTACCCGCTACACTCAGGCCTGGTATGAGCATAAGTAGAAAAGTTGTAATGAATTTGCCATTTTCGTAACTTGATATTCTTTTTGATTCGTTTTCAGTATTATTTCATTGCAATACCATCAAAAAAGTATTCCGTAAACATAATGGATTTTAGTCTTATTTGAGTACAACTGTCGTCATCACGCAGTTCACTGACATTGCATAGAAAATTAATTCATCTCGACTTTGATAACAAGTGTTCGAAAATATGTACATTTATTTTACATATTTTCCATTATATGAAATTCATTTAATCAGGGTATGTACCTATATCACTATTTGTTATTAGATGTGCTTTGCTTGTGGTTAACAAGTATTATTATTCGTACAACGGGAAGAAATTCTTCTATGAACTTCTCCCATCAAATTATTTATTAACTCTTTCTCCAGGGCTTTTGATTTACACACACAAAAAAGTACGTGCTGAAGAAAATCGAAAAAAAAATAAATTAACGCTCTACAGGAGATAAATTTTCATACAACCGAGATTCCTGGTAGATGACAAATTAATTTGATTTATGGGTGTTTTTTACCCCCAAAAATAGTTTGTTCGTAAATATTGGCGCCGACGTTACAGGATATTGGCAACTCGGCGATGCCAGAACCCAAGTATGGAGGCCATAACATAAGACTTATGACTCAATAACCCCAAAAATGAGATAGTTTGCATATGCTTTCCGCAGTTTTAACAATGAAGGCTCGTTAGATAGGCTGAGGTGAAGTATTCTTCCGTGATAAGACTACCACTATAAATATTCTGCCATGAGCGAGAGAATTTCCGGTTTCGAATTTTTTACAACGGTTGCCAATTTCCTACTGGACAACATTTTCCAGGTTTATGGTAGACGTCGTTTTTTCGAGGATATTTTACAATTATTGATGACACAATTTGGAAAAAGGAGGATATTGACCAGCAGTTAATGGACAGTAGCATCACCAAGAGCAGTAATTATTTAAAACTTATGCAATATTTTACTATGAATTTGTTGCAGAATGGGCTTCAATTTAATTACAAATATCAGAAAAAAATTATTTCGAACCTGGAATAATTTTTTTGTTGTTGCTGTTTCTAGAATGAATTTAGTGAGGCCTCAACTGTTTACCAATGTAGAGATATTATAGCTTGAAAAATTGAATTGAAAATTGAATTCGATGATTGAAATTATAACATATCTGGAATTTCTTCCGACCTCACATGACATTTGCTGAAATGACTCGAGAAACCGAACGCCTGTAAATCTTTGGAGCTTTAGGGAAAAGTTTCTGTTCATATTTATTTATTTGATAATTCACTCAATTATTGACATATTTTCAACTAATTATCTTTAAACTATTCAACTTACCATTATGAATTGTAGAAAAGATATCGCAGGTAATGAATCTGTATCAAATAAGTTCTTTAGTAACCAAATTTCACACTTCGTTGTTTCACGATCATTTTTACAGCATTCATTTCGTAATGACTTAACTAGAATAGAAAAATTGCCTTTAAACTCACACATACGTATGACAGAAATTTAAACTTGCACGTCATTGTACCGGCGCAGTGGTGACTCAAGGTGTGGAGGTGATGGTGAGGGACGAAGCTGTGATGTCAGGAAACACAGCGGTGCTGACGTGTGAACTGCCTTCGTCACTACGAGACCTGCTAACTGTCACTGCTTGGGAGAGAGACAGAGGAGTCCATATCTATCCCAGCCTACATGGCGGTGAGAAAACCATTCAATTGTTTCTGTTTGACCTTATTGTCTTGAACTTAGACAATAACCAATACAATATAGTATACAATATAATAAACCAATACAATAACCAATACAAGACCAACAAAAACTTGACCAATCTTAATGTCTATTGTCATGCGTTCGTCTTGACCTTATTTAGGTAACTTGGCTTGCAACATTAAGTTTTTCCACAGCTTTGTCTATACAATGAGGTAGACAGTTTTGCTATGTTCGTGCATGATGTACTCAGAGAAGCAGCGGGTACTCATTCATTTTAGAATTTCTATAAGTAATAAAGTTATGACTCATGTTTCCATACGCTCAAACATTTTTATGCTATTGAACAAATCAAATTAGAAAAGCCACCGACAAAAACACAAATTCAAAAGAAGCTAATTATGTCCGATCGTTTAATCTGGTGGAAATCGATTATTTTCAAATTGGTCTGATTGCCCTGCCATATTCAGCTTCGTGGTAACTTACTAGCACCTTCCAGAAGCTCGTCTCTTCAGAAGCCATGTATTTGTGACCTAGGTTTCAGAGACTCACTTATTCAATCTGGTCCATTTTAAAACGTTCGATTATTTCAAGACTTCATTTAGTGATAAATTACTCTGTTTCCTTTTTTATATGAAGTGCCTGATACTATCTCTTAGTATTTGAAGACAAACTGTTTATAAATCTTCTATGTGGATGAGAAAAAGTTAAAAACACGTATTTGAACATGAACTTAGCTACTTGACGCTTAAAAAGCAATAAATAACTATTTGAAGACCAGCTTTTATTTAAGGACAAAGTTTTAAAACCAATATATTCAGAGCCTTTGTTTTCAATCCCTTTGACCGAGTCGCCTCTGGGGTCTTGAAAACATTGTATAGTATGGCCAGGATTGCGGCTGTGGACGTGATGATTGCCTTCGTCATGGCACGCAGTATCGTCACGATTTTGTCCCAGGGAAATTGCCCTCTATGGCCAGCACTGAGATTGCTTGGCTCTCCGCATCGAGCGAGATTGGCCTTCTACCCTCGCTAGAAATTACCTTTACAAGTGCTACTGGTCCGCTACAATCGATGCCATTGTTTACTTCAGTGCAGAAACAAGATGCAATTCACCTTGAATGGAACGTTGGTTATGATCATAACGGTACAGGATATGCAGATCATCATGCGGATAATGGCGGCTCTGCCATTACTTGCGTAGTTTCTATTCCCTTTTCTGCGGCTGATTGATAGTCCGAACATTGTTCTCGGATATTGATCGCCGTAGCGCATTCCCTTTTATTAAGTCGAATTGCAGGCTGTATAAGCACAAAACCTGGCAACGGAGCTATGAACGATTTTCAGGAATGTGACATCTGGCTTAAGTTGACTTCAGATTTAGGCTTAGTATTTCTTCTTACATTCCAGGTAAAGTAATTATTTTCACAAAGAGGAACTTTTGCACATTTGTACACCGCTTTTTTTGCAACACCACCGCGCTTGACACTTTGGTGCTTCTTGCTCCAAAGGAAACTTCAAAATAATCGTTTTAAATCTACAAATTGTTGTTGCTCCAAAGGAAACTTCAAAATAATCGTTTTAAATCTACAAATTGTTGTAAAGATATATTCTCAACCCCGTTCAACTTATCTGTGTATTGCAACCTTTTCGCCATTATGCCGACTGTGTTAACATTTCTCGTGTTCGCGCTTGTGTTTGTTTATCCATGAGCAGTAGAAGTAAAATAAGCTTTATTCTTCTTGACCTTACGTCGGCAAATGCGTCACCTCCGTGAGATATTTGCAGAAGTAAGTCAGGCACTCGCGCCCGCTTACATTTCCGAAAAGAATTCTACTCAGGCTTGGCATATTGCAGCTTCCCTTCCTCTCGCTGAAACTCTCAGAGCGAGGCAGCATTGCGTATTCATGAGTTTTGTTGGTGCTCCTCTAAAGCTTTCCTGAGGAGATGACATCCAGAAAGTGCTGCCAGAAATGCATTCATGTCATCAGTTACGTGACTCCTCGCCATGTCATCGATTCCTAGCAAAACTAACTTCATCGTGCGTAGGAATGAGGCGCTCGATTGATTACGTGACCTGCGTGGCATACAACACGGCCTTTATCTCATGAAATTTGCCATATGCTTCAGCGTTGGACGACTTCGCTCGGCAAAATATGGGACTAAATCGTTGTAAAAGTTCCCAACAGCATTTTATTTATAATAATTATTATTATTATTATTATTATTATTTATTATATTACTATATTAGAGTTATTATGACAGAATTTATTCCCGTTCGTAATTTTCCTGAAAATTTTGCTTTCGAGATCACACAGAAATCAAAATTTTATCAATTCTATCACACAGAAATCAATTTTATCAATTTTCATGCTTCCGAAATATTGGCACTACTTGACCTTTGGACAATTATATTTGTACTACAGTGCTCTACTTGCAGTTTCTGAACTACAGTGCTGGAAAGTACAAGGCACAAATCTTTACTGTAATGTTCATCTGGCCTGCACAGCTGCGAACTTTAGAGTTCCACGTTTCATAGCTCTTGCCAGCACACCGAGTTCTCAGATTTGGCCTGGTTAGCTTTTGACTGCACACTTCTAAACTACGTATACAGATCCTGAATGTACAACTCTGGAGTACATAGCTTTGGACTGCATAGCTCTGGAATACACAGCCCTGGCCACACAGCTCTGGAATACAGAGCCCTGACAAAACACAGCTCTGGAATACACAGCCCTGGCCACTCAGCTCTGGAATACACAGCCCTTGCCACACAGCTCTGGAACACACAGCCCTGGCCACACAGCTCTGGAATACACAGCCCTGGCCACACAGCTCTGGAACACACATCCCTGGCCACGCAGCTCTAGAACACACAGCCCTGGCCACACAGCTCTGGAAGACATAGCCCTGGTCACACAGCTCTGGAATACACATCCCCGGCCACACAGCTCTGGAAGACATAGCCCTGGCCACACAGCTCTGGAATACACATCCCTGGCCGCGCAGCTCTGGAACACACAGTCCTGGCCACACAGCTCTGGAATATAAATCCCTGGCCACACAGCTCTGGAACACACAGCCCTGGCCACACAGCTCTGGAATCACAGCTCTGGAAGACATAGCCCTGGCCACACAGCTCTGGAATACACATTCCCGGCCACACAGCTCTGGAAGACATAGCCCTGGCCCCACAGCTCTGGAAGACATAGCCCTGGCCACACAGCTCTGGAATACACATCCCTGGCCACACAGCTCTGGAACACACAGCCCTGGACACACAGCTCTGAAATACACAGCCCTGGCCACACAGCTCTGGAATACACAGTCCTGGCCACACAGCTCTGGAACACAGCCCTGGCCACACAGCTCTGGAACACACAGCCCTGGCCACACAGTCCTGGCCACACAGCCCTGGCCACACAGCTCTGGAATACACAGCCCTGCCCACACAGCTCTGGAGCACACAACCCTGGCCACACAGCTCTGTACTACACACTCTGTGTGGTCGCAAGGACTGAACAAAAATAGACCAGCTGAGCTCGTCCATCATGAGGAGGCTGTCGTGACGGCGACGATAGAGCAAAGGCTATTATCGTGAGGCCATTGGGTCCGCAATTAATGATGCTGGAGCAGGAGTTTTGTCTTCTCTCCTTACTTGCAGGAGCGCGGGGTTAATTTTAGAAGTAATATTAGATGCGTTGTGAAGGGATGTGTAAGAAATTTGTGCAACAGGTTTAGAGAAAAGTTGTTTCATTGTCTTGTACTAATTTGAAGGACGATGAGAACGAAATTCATACTGCATTTTAAAGCGTGAAGGTTGACAGCAGTGTAAAGAATTTAATGTATTTCTGACTTTATCGGTTAGTGACTCTAATAATTGAATTGTTATATGTTTATTCTCGTACTTGCTGTTGTTGCAGTTAAGCCTATACTTGCTTAACGATTTTACTGCCTGATTGTAGTTGTCATTTTTTAGAAAATATTAGAAAACAAATCTAAAAACTTATAAATAGGAAGTAATTATGACTGAAAGCTTAGAGGCACTGCGATGAGTAAATCAACGTAATGCTAAACTGTAACTCTAATTGATATTCTGATAATCCCAAAGTAATAAATTATGGCTGATGGATGTAACCAAGTATCCAATTTTTTAAAATGCTGGTCTACACGATTAAATACATTGATGCGATAATGTGATTTGTAGTTCATGTATTAAAGTTAACGAAAAAGTTTACCGATGCGCAATCAACATGAATCTTTCATCGTCCGTTTTGCTTTTTCTCACTTCTTAATTTTGGATGCCCAATACTCGTTACTGTTGCTTCCTCTAACATTTATAATACTAACCGACAGCCAAAATTGCACTGATATATGATTTTCTTGTAGCCGAATCATATCATATTTGAACAAGATTACATTTGAGCGATGTGAACTGAATAATCATCTTCATGCCCATGTGAACACGCTGGAACAGAGTATATCTTATGAACTTGATTTCACACGTGAGTAACGTTGATCGTATTTCATTGATTCACTGAGAAAATCAACGTAATGCTGAACTTTTTATGAAATGATTAAAGGTAGACAGATGTGCTCAGAACTCCGTTGATATAAAATAATATTTTGATATTAATAATTTGAAGTACAATTTAAAATTGCATTGTTTCTTATTTATATTCACATGTAAAAGGAGAAAGACACAGATTTCCATATATAATTTATTTCGACGGAAAATTCAATTCATCACCCCTCTCAATATTTTATTATTGAAATATTTCGCGCTCAATATTCTGTTTCTTCGTTATATTCGATGACGGAATTCTCGCTGGCCTAAATCTTTAAGGAAATAAAAAATCATTATTAAATTTTACGATACCACCTTTACATTTTTAGTCATCAGTTTTAATGAAGGCAATATTACTAGACGCCTCTCCTGAAAATATTAGATTATTATAAGCACGGTGTTGTGTTTTCAGGATGTCTTCACAGAATTTTACCCCGTAAATCAGGATGTTCAGGAGCCAAGTAAGCGACCTAATGTTCAGTGTTGTAAGCTCACAACATTCTGTTAATAATTACGTGATTAAAGCTACAAAACCGTCAGCCATGAACCCTGATCGTGCATGTCAGCTTGTACGTATCCTTGATAGACTCTGTATTAAAACTACCTAATCACCAGAAAAATTACACCTTTGATGAGGAGCACCCTGTGCATTTTATGACCGGTTTCAACGCCCGACGGGGAAAAATGAAAGGCATCCGGATGCGCTATCAGAGAACTCTTTAAACGAGGAACATTTTTGACTCCCGCTATGAATTTTATTAGCTTACTAAATGCTGGCAAGAAATTATGCTGCCGTGGACGAGGCAAGTCTCTTTCCATTGAATTTGTGAATTATCTCGCCAACTTCCAAGGGTTTCAATGTTCGATGATCCTTTCAACCTCTCAAAAATTCTGTTCACTGTTGAGATCTGTTTTTTTTCAGTGACACTTTTTTCAAACAATCTTTGCTACGGTATTCAGCTTTGACCAATATCAAGACCTATTTAGCACGACACAAGAATAAAGAAAAGTTCTTAAAATTCTCGATTCTGAGATGAGAACTTCACGTAAAAATTTCCTTGTCTCTGCAATGCGGTGCGTTAGCCACTGCTTCTGAAGGAATTCGTCTGTTATTTTCATTGTCTTATTTTCGCAGTAAGCTTAAAGTCGATATCTAAACATTTGTATAATTATATTTTGCAATGGCAAAGCAATTGGTGGTCTAGCAAGTGCGATTAACCTCTCTACTTTTTTATTGTCTTAATTTCCTCTTGAAAGAGAATAATAATGAAATTTGCTTTAAATAGTAGACATTAATTACTACCAAACATTCCAACCCCAAACTGAAAACAAGAGGCATGAATTTTTTCTTAGCTTACAAAATGATAAATCTGTCTTTGAATTTTATTGCTACGAATTTATGAACGATCATCTCATTCAATTCAAATGCTGATATTAATTTACATTTAGAATCGTATTCGCCCCTTTCACCACTAAAAATATATATATTTTAACCAATTTACATTTTAAATCTTATTTGCTCATCTCACAACTAAAAAATATACATATTTTTTAACCAATTTACATTTTAAATCGTATTTGCCCCTCTCACAACTAAAAATATAAATATTTTTTTACCAGACGGGAAGTACCACGCGATCAAGTGGAGCGGACAGCTGCTCGTGCACAACGTGGATGCCTCAGACTCGCACTCCACCTTCCGCTGCGTTGCTCTCCACTCACTCCAACACTCCACCACACACTCCAACGCTGCACGCATCATCGTCAACGGTGAGATAACACTTTTTTATTATATTTTTATTATGTTTTCAACACTTCTGACACTTGTGGTGTCAGAAGCACCAAATCTCTGTCAACAACACTAGGCGACCGACATATTTGACAGGATTTTGAAACAAGCGTCACGGTGGAGTGAAGTTACACATCAGAAATTCTAACTCTGAATTTAGTGCAATTTTGCTCTACACAGTTCAGTTGTTTTGAATGTAACAATCCGAATCGTAATTCTAAACCACAAAACATCAATTATTATGGGATCGTAAATTTTGCATAGCATTAAATATAGGCTTATATTTCTGATCAAGAAACATGCATTTTTTTTAATTCACAGATTCCCGATTGAAAAATTGTGGCCAAAAATTTCTCCCATGATAGTCCTTGTTACCCAGTTGTCTGTGCAGTAATACTGTACGATGTAGTACTACTACCCGGAAATCATCTGTTATTCGTGTTTCTGTTCTCGTAAAGACATCTAGCTAATTGAAATGAATCACATTTAGAAAATGCAAAAGATAATCAAAATTGCATTCGTTGCATAAAACATTGGATGTTTTCACTCATTTACTAGCGAGTATACGAGAAGTGGCGACACGTGTCAAAATTTACCGTGTGAAAGCGCATTAAGTTTTTACGCAGCTCTCTCTAAAACAGCGCAGAAATGGAGCGGTCTAATCAAATAGCGGGATTCCTCCCAACTCTGCTTGTTCTCATCACATGGAAGGCGATGCAGAGAGGGAAGCTCACGTTTCTTTTTCTTGAACAAACATCCTCGCCAGCCTTCGTTCCTACAGCAACGGCGTAGCCTTGCCAACGCGATCGTCGAGAAAAAACTACTGCTGTCATGCAAAGCCATTGAAGAACTGATTATGCATACTATTAATTATTACATGCGGCTGTTTTTCGGTTTCATTTATGTTCAAATATGCGAACTTCTAGAATTAGTTGCAACTCTTCATCCGCTTGAAAGAAAGTACATGCTTAGTTTCCAAATAGGAAATTTTAAGTCATATAAAAACAACAGTCATTGAAAATGTTAAACTATGAATGCCCAAATACCATTGTAATGCTTACTGAGTTTTTATTATTCATAAAATCTACAGTGTTCAAGTAGAAGTTTAAGCGGACGACCTTCAGTATAGGTCGTGGCTATGTCGATCAGTATATATGAACTGATCTGAAAACAATCCGGATTTACCGGACAGAGTGAAACTAATCCTAAATATGGTGCTGTATGAAAGCCCTCCGGCGAGATACATACAAAAATAATTATTGCCTTTATTTTTTCCAAGTTATTTATTGTAATATATCTTGTTCTTAGTTTTTTCATTATTTATTGGTTACTGAAGGGTTCAAGTCGTTTACTTTTCTGCATGAGCCTTAAATTTGTATTGGGAGTTTTAGCATAGGGGTAAAAATATGCTACGGTTATGTAAGAATGACACGAAATAATTAATTAATATTAATTGAACGCGAAATAATATATTCTTTTGAAATCATTAGTAATGATGAATATAAGCGTTACCTATGACAAGTCATTAGAAGAACTACAAGCATATTCCAGTCACTGAAACTGGACTGAAACTGGACAGTCACGAAACTTATGCAAACAATTTTCCTGCGCTCCCATACACAAATCAGAAAGCGATGTCTACTAGTGAGTAATAATAGTTTGGGAAATCTCTGAAAAAAATTATCCCACTAAAATGAGCACAAGTTTTGTAATTAAGTCTTTTAAAGAAGTATGTATTATTTCTATTCCACTTACTCAATTATGAATACACACATTGTTGCAATTAGATGCTTATGTTTGTTTCGTGAATCTGAACAACCCATTTTTTCCGAACACAAGTGTCAAGTAAGACCGTGTGTTTAAATGAGATACATTTTTTGCAACATTTTGATGTTGAGAGAAAAGCTTTTCCTCATTAAAAAATCGCAATTCTTTTGGTTCTGAATTGGAATAAATCGCTCGTATTGCTTGAACTTTTCAGAATCCGTAGAATAATGTTATTTTATAAGTGCTCATGTAGTTAAATTCATGAGGCAAGGTCATTGAGTGATGAATATTATTCTAATATTATTCTAAATTCTTTTCCGCTTCAATTTAATTCGTTTAAATTTCTATGGTTGAAAAAATGGGCGTTGTATTCCCATGACTGGAAAAATTATTTTGAATAATAATTCAGGTTCGACTTTATGTGAATTCAAAACTGTTGCAAGTTTTCAATAATTATTAACTTGGAAAACTTTGCAGGTTCTAGTTTGTGTTAATTCAAAACTTTTGCAATTTTTCAATAATTAACTTGGAAAACTTTGCAGGTTCTAGTTTGTGTTAATTCAAAACTTTTGCAATTTTTCAATTATTAACTTGGAAAACTTTGCTCGGTAACGCAACCAGATCCTCGAGTGCCGTCGCCACCTCGCCTCATTACGCAGTCAACACAAGTGCGCGCGTCAGCCGACCTGCCGCTCATCCTGCCGTGCGTCGCGCACGCCAACCCTCCACCAGCCTACAGGTAGGCGCAGGACCTGCCGCACATCCTGCACTGCGTCGCGCACGCCAACCCTCCACCAGCCTACAGGTAGGCGCAGGACCTGCCGCTCGTCCTGCCCTGCGTCGCGCACGCCAACCCATCGCATGCTTTTGTGTAAATCTCATACTATGCGTAAAATAAACTACTTTTGCGTAAATCTCGAACAATTAATTTTTGTCGCTTTTGAGACTACAATATGTGGGTCTCAATCATACATATTCAAATCACAAATAAATATGCCTTTTGTACGTAATTTATTTTCTTAAATTTCTACTCTGTGCAATCTATAGTTCTAAAAAATTAACAAACCATTTTTAAACAAACAACTATTCTAGGGTTTGACACAGTCGCCTAAAACCAATGACTACAATATTTTGAAATATTTTTGCGTGATGTGGGAAACGTGTAGACTGTCATATTTTCTTGTAATCCTTAGCTGAATTTCAATAATACTTAAAAGCTTCTCTTAATTATTGTTCTGAAGATAAATCATTTCTTTACACACGCTATTACAATCTTTTATTATTATTTATATGTCCTTTCCATAAACATTTCACCCCTCACTACAAAAACCCAATCTATTATTTAATGCAAAATTCCCCGTAGTGTTCACACATGGAAAGCCCCGCTGCTAGATATTCTCTTAAAAATATAAAGTCCCGTGAGGCTAAAATGATTCTGACATAAATTCTTTAATAGAATTCCTATTCCGAGGGAAGCGCGCGGAGCTGTCATCCGTAATGAGGGAGGACGTTAATCATTGAGCGAATACGATCGCTCATGAATATCTCTTGTATTGGAATTTCCAATCATCAAATTTCAATTAAAATTATATTATTCTATATATATCTCAGGATTGTCTGCAGCTTCAATGGCAGTGGATGTTTGAGTCTAAGGTATATTGAAAAACGCAATTGAATCTTTGTAAAAATTTATGTAAAATAATTTTTCAAAATAGCAACCACCATTAATGCGAATAATCCAGAGTACATTTACATAATCTTATAAAGAGCATCAAGTTTCGCTCCGATATTTATATAATCATAAATTAAAAATCTGAAAAGCAAACCGCTAAATAAAATATATAAAAAATTTACTTATTTTAAATAAATGAATTTAATGTAATGAATAAATTTAAAGGTCTATATAAATTTCACGCTCATCACAGAGGGAAAGAGGAAGGGGAAACTTTTTCTCTCCTAATGACCGTCAATATGAATCTAATAACGGGGCTGACAGACGCGTCCGGCATCCGAGTGATACCAATTCTGGGTCTCGCCTCAGCAATATATTGCCTTTCAATATTGATATTAATTGCGCTTCTTATTTAGTAAGAGAGACATTAAATTCTCAGGTCACGTACGTTATGAGGCAGAATGATGTGGCCTTTGCTATATGTGTAAAGCTACTATATTCTATCTATTGAATACGCACAAAAATGTGTATGATTATATTCATATTAATCTAACAATACCACGCAAAGAAAATAACTATGCTTTTAACGCAGCGGATATCGCAGAGTTAAATTTGAAAACAAATGTTCTGTTCTTCTAATTTTTTTTGACCTTTATAAGTATACGATTGTATACGTAGAAATTCATGTCTGTTTGGAGACATTCTATATTTAGGTATAGCTGAATTGTATTTGGGGTTCGGTAATTATGATGAGGAAGTGTCTTAGGATTTTTACTGCACTGGTCAACAAAAAATTACTGAACTGGTCAACAAATTAATGTAATAGTTTCTTGCGTGCTACAGGCACCCGAGATTATGATCATGTGATCATGAATTTCGCCAAATGTTGGAAAACCAGAGTAGTGTTTCTGATGTTAATGTTTAACGACACAACATCTATGACTAATACACATCTAATCTACTAGTAGAGAGATCTAGAACTACATCAAGAGCGAATCTGCACTCAGTGTTACGAAGCACTTCGAAATGTACATCGTAATGGAACAAATTTGAAACCCCCACTCAGATGGTACCAAAAAACGCCCAACGGTGACCGACTACCAGTGCACCAGCAACAGCTCCCGTCAAGGCTGGGCGTCGGAGGCCTCGTGTCCGGGGCAAGCGACACTAGCGGGGAGAGCGGCGTTCTCGTGCTCGAGAGTGCCAGCCGTCTGCTGGCGCGGGAGGTGGCCTTCGTGTGCGAAGCCACAAATGCGGCAGGCAGCAGCACTATGGAGGTGAGTGGCGTGTTGTTTTGGTCTCAGAATTTTTAAACGGAGAAGTTCAGTGAGTGAGATAACCATTGCATTCGGCAGCAGTACCATGGGGGTGAATTTGTGTCGTGTCTGGGCGTCACGATTTTCAAGCGAGGAAGTTCGGTGCGTGAGGCGCCCAATGCAGCAGCACCATGGAGGTAAGTGGCGCCTTGCGTTGACGTCAAATTTCCAAGCGGAGAAGTTCAGTAAGTGAAGTAAAGAATGCAGCAGCACCATGGAGGTGAGTGACGTTTCGTTTGAGCGTCATAATTTCCAAGCGCAGATGTTTAGTAAATGAGGTAAAGAATACAGCAGCACCATGGAGATGAGTGGCTTGTTGTTTTGGCGTCAGTACTTTTAACGGAAAAGTTCAGCGAGTGAGTAACCAATCCAACCGGCAGCAGCACCACGGAGGTGAGTGACGTTTAGTTTGGGCGTCATAATTTCCGAGCGCACATGTTCAAAAAGTGTGCCCACCAACGCAGCAGACAGCAGCAGTATGTAGGTGACTCGAGGTCCATTTGGCGACTATATTCTGTAGTCGCGCGCTTCAGTAAGCATGTAAACCACTAGGCGGCGTGCAGTAACTTGGAGTTAAGCTTATCCTCCTGTGCAGTCGCTGTTGATACGGCGAGTAACTCTAGTTTGCGAGGCAGCCAACTGAGCTCCGCAGCGTCAACACCGTTAAATAATTCAACTTTAGCTCCTTGCTTGCGGATAAATGTAGATAGTTTTTCCAATCTTTATGAATAAATATTAAAATTTGTTTGTAGGGAAATTCAATAGCTTATGGCGCAAATGTTTATTTTTGTGAATAAAAAAATCAGGAAAATTTTGAATCTTAGTACAAGTTCAATCAAGTTCATTCACGCTTATATTTTTTACTTATTTTTTATGAAAAATCATTTCTGCAAATTCTCTATTCACTGTCGCAAAATAAGATTATTTTGTTGATTTTCAAACCTACCTCAAGGCAGCTATGGAACGGCCTTTATGGCGTAATTTGCAGCGAAAGGGTGCACTCAAAATTTAAAACCGTTTACAAAGTTACTTAATATTGTCAATCCTCACTTTGTACTGTGATAACTTTTCTCGTATGTGGATAGTCGGTCATTTTTCACGATTCACGTTAGGAATATGTAAAATGTTCTCATTTCGCCATTGATAAACATGCCCAAGTGCAGGACTTTATTCACAGTAGAACTTCAATGTGAATGAAATTGTCAAATGAATAAGTTTCTAGGTTGCTTGAAAATCCAAAGATATAAAACTTAAGCTCCACTGATGATGCCTTCAAAAGCTTCCTGCTTCTCAGTGCAACAACAATGATGGGTCAGCAGAAAACGACTCTATGTTACTTGCTAGCAGCCCTTCAGTCTTCAAGACCAAGTAAAAAAAGCTGAATCAGCGAAAGTTTTTTCCAAGGCGAGGCTCTTTAAGGGAAGTTATGAGAAGAGTTGTATGTAAATTTCATCCTTTTGCCGCGAGTTTCTTCGTAAAAATTTACGTAATGAAGGCTTCTTTTATAAACAGTATTGTCAATTCAATTTTTTCGCTATCATTTCTTTAAGAAGAACTCTATTGTTTTTCTGTCCAGTTGTTCGTGATGAACTTGAAGTCCGGTGTTGACTTAGGGGCGTAAAGTATGCTTTAATTAAACCGCCAGCATCGGACAAATGTGAGGAAAAGTTTGAAATTTTCGTTCCACACATTTTATTAGCGTTAGTGAAAGCGTTACAAGATTTTTCCTGTAACTTTATACGATGACTAGTTTTATTGCAAGTTAATACCTATTATTATTTTTTCATCTTTACTATGTACATACTTTCTATACATTGTAAGTCGCTTGCGTTACCTTCTCATTTTGGTCTTGGAAATGCATTCGGTCGACGTCCCGCTCAAACGACCATCGTTATTGGCATCATCAATTCTGTCTTGGTCATACTTCTTTTCCGTCTGCCGTCTCATGCTAATAAAGGTCGTCGATCTTCCTATAAATTGGCCCAGAACAAATAAATTAAATTAATCGTAAGTAATCTAAATGGATTGTAGTGAAGTTTTGTTTCCCGTTGAAATCGCAACTATTTAAGGCGTAATGCAAAGGAAAAAAATAATATATTTCAGAGATAGAACAGAATTCAGGATGAATATTCATGTATTATGGCTCCATTCAGTCTAGATTTATTTTTAATCAGACTTTGGGGATTTTATTATCTTAAGCTACCATACATAATATAGAACAATTTCAGCTTGTTCCTGGAATTTGCAATTCACGGATTTTTTCAGAGCATTTAAAAGTTTTATTCTTTAAATTTGGCAAAAGTGACGCAGAAAATGTATGATATTGATTAATTACTGGAGTCTCAAATTCTCCAGATTAAAACTCAGAACTTGTTTCTTAGCTGCCCGTTTGAGTTCAACCGAATTTAAAAGCAAAGATAATAGCTAGAAAATTCACCATTTCTTAATAAGGAAAACGTTTCCAGCTCTATCGTCAGTTCAAAACTTAAAACACAGGTACAAACAATTAGCAAATAAATTCACATTGAAACATAAATCGTCAAATGAAAACAAATAAGAATGAAGTAAATATGAGCAGACAAACCTCTCTATTTACAATTTCGATGGGATATGAACTGTTGGCGGCATTTAAACTAAGCCTTTGTTTAAAAGTATAAAGGGTCTCAAAAATTCGCAGGTCAGAAACCCCGGTTGTAGAAGCTAAAATTCGAAAATCTCTATCGGACACGGGCACGTTGCACTTATCGGCATGAACGCGAACTGCTGGACTGAACTGACGATGGAGCTGGACTCCGAAACGTTTTCCTTTATAAGAAAGGGTGAATTTTCTGGTTATTTTCTTTGCTTGCAAATTCTTGATAAACTTGCAATTTAAACAGTCAAGAGATCTTAATAGTTCAAACGAAGTAACGGGTATATATGAAATTGAAATTCTATGCTTAAAAACGAGAATCCATTTTATTTTGATTTCTTTGCAAAAGGACTAATATTTAAAAATTTTAGTTAGAAAGGAAAACCTTTTTCTAGCGACCTGCCAGACGCCAGTGTATCAGTTATGGGTGCTATTACATTTTAATGGAGTTACATCGGGTAACTCAAACGCCTCTTTACATTAAATCTGTCATGCACTAATTCTATGATTTAGGCATTTAACAATTATTCTATTATTGGTAGGAATCATGCTTCTGGCATTACAATTTTACCCTATTCATGTAGGAAAATCTCAGCTCCCCACGACTAATTTTAAGCTTCAAAGACATTTCACGATTCAGCATCACAGAGCTCATCTCGAATTATATCGTTGCATGCCGGTAACAATTATTAAGGTTATTTTGAACGGTCCCGTTATATTCCCCCTCAGATTCGGTTATTTTGAGCGGTCCCGTTATACTCTCCCTCAGATTCGCGTGACGCGGTCAGTGCCTGCCTGGGTGCGAGTTCAGCCAAAAGTTGCCGTCGTGGACGTTGGAGGGAGCACGGAGTTCTTGTGTGAAGTGGGCGAGGGCGACTCCAGCACGACGTGGACTTACGGCCACGAGTATAGCTCCGGGGGCAGAGGCCCTGGCACCGCAACGCGCTATACGTGGTACAAAGACGGCAGAATTATCGCTCCTTCTTCCCGTATTGTAATCACAGGTCAGTGAAACTTGATTTTTATAGAATTTATGATACTATACTTTATGAAACTATAGATACACACGTGTCTCAGTTTGCGCTTTTTTTCTGCTTTTATGGTATCTGATCATTGTGTAAAAATGTCTCTTAAAAATATATTAACTAAGCTAGAAGGATATTCCTTCATGAAACATTTGTGCATGAAGTATCTTCTCGCTCTATGGTAAAACCAATGAAAAGAAGACTATGAAATCATACTGACTTCATAGCCTTCATTTTCATGGCTATGAAATCAAGACTATCAAATAGTCTTCAAGATTGTGAAATCACGTTGATTTTATAGTCATCATTCTCAAGGTACAAATGAAGTAAATTTACAAGTAAAAAAAATTGTAAAATAATGTTCAGGTGATTCAGTGATTCTCCGCGTACGCGCTAAAAAATTTGAGATTTATTTAATTCTCACTGACATCAAGAAACTCGTACTGTAGGTCAAAACAGAAACTGATTGTTTTCCAAAAGCGGTAAAACTCCGTTCAAGGAATCTTCAGGCAAACTATAAGACGCAAGATCAAGGCTGACAATTTATAATAAAAAATGAGTAAGCACATCCGTCTAGCGCGTTGAATCTCACAGTAAAACTCTGCAACAAAATGCTGCGCTTTTTAGAGCAGATTTCTTGACAACTGGAGGCTCAAGCTGCAGGGCAGCAACCACAGCAAGACGTTCTCGGGTAGAGAGATTTGCTTTAAGATGTTTTTCAGTGATTGTTGATATAATGAAAATAAGGAACAGTTCTGCTGTCATAGCCCGAACAGCCGTTTTGCTATCGTGTCATGCTTTGGACTCTTTTTCGCCGAGAAAATGTTTTAGTAAAAATGCATACTTGTCCTACTAATTCAAGTAGCTGATTTATTTTTCACTTATATCTAAAAGTCTCTTGTTTTTCTACAATTCGGGATGAGTTTCAAAAACGATTTCTAAATTTTCGTTTATTTTCCAAGCGAAAAAATCATTTTGATTCTTTTCAGGGTCATGCAAGTAATTGCGGGAATCGACATAAAATTCATACCTATAGTTTTTTGTAATACTATTTATTTAAAATATTCAACAATGACCTTATTAGTTCTAGCAATTGTAAAAACTTGGTGCATGTACCTTTTAAGTCTTATTGAGCTTCGGGCTATTCCTTTTTCTTTGAAGGTCTCTCTTTGAAGGCATTTTGAGTGTGCTTTCTTCCGTCCGGAACTAGACTTTCATTTTTTTAAGGAGCAATAAAAAGAAGAAACCGTTTGAAATCTTTTCAAGATGACAAGAATTACTTTCTCAGTGCTTGCGCTTCTATCGCGCCGTTCCATGGAGGTGATGCAGCAATGGGAAATGTGATGGGAAAAGGGTTGAATAACGTAATTCTAGCTTTCCTAGAATCATTATTTTGACGGATCACCGAATATTTTCCTAGAAACACAAGCACATTTTACCATAGTACAACACACTGTAACAATAATTATTAAAAAATAATTGTTAAACATTTGTTTTGCGATCAATCTTTAAATCTCCACAATGGTTTTTCTTTCACGGAAAAAGTACTGAATTTTGTGCAAAACTTTGAAAATTACTTTAACTCTGAACCTTGAACAACTTCTTGCATATGCTTTTTTAATGTCTAAGAGTTTTTTACTTATTGCGTTGCCTCCAAAAGCTTTTTTAATTTTCACTTTAGCTTATATATTTTGGTTAATTTATAATTATTAAAATGAACATTATTCACAAGTTAAGGCCATCTGTCATGCTTAATAACATTTTCAGCTATCATACAATTGAATGATTTAGTCAATGGAAATTAGCAAAGCGCACATTTGAACATATTTTCCATGCAAAGGCTTCATGGGTCTCAACTATTGTTTCATTTGTCAGATTTATGAAAGGTAATTAATTGGTTTTTGATGTATGAATTTAAGAAGCTGAATTATCGGTAAACGTTAAATTATAACGACTATCTTGATTGACACACAATAAAACCTCTATCCTGCTCCTATCAATAGTGAAAATTGAATTTTTCGAAAAGTTCATGGTTTTTTTGCCAATAATCAGTTATGGCGTTTCTGCGTTGTAAAGTGCAGACATTCATAATTTCTTGTGCTGATTATTGCCCTAGTTTTTCTCATTTGACGTTTTTAGCGCATTTTCTCATTTATGGAAAAAATGCACTATTGTGCTCGCCATGTCGTCCGTCCGTCTGTCTGTCCGTCTCTCTGTCCGTCTGTCTGTTTGTCTGTCCGTCTGTCCGTGACCTCAAGTTTTCGTCGACGAGAAAATGCGCTCTCTGTCACTCACTGCAGTGAGTACTGAGTTATATTTTTTTCGTAATTTCTGCGCGCGCCTGCACCGCTACCTGCCTTTTGCCACGTAAAGAGGAGGTTTGGTCTTTCGTCCCTCGATATTGGCAAGAACGAGTGGAAACTTTGATGCGGAATAGTGGGTGATTTTTGTACCACTGCCAACGACGGAACGCTCTTGTAATCCGAGGGGAGCATGAAAGAACAAAGACTGCGGACTTTGTGGATGAGGAGGGAAAAAGTCATGTTTTTCTGGGCTGCAAAGCGCAGCAAAGTTTTGAAGAATCAAGTAAAGAATGTTGAACGGACCGTATAAAAAACATTCTTATATTGTCGATTATTTAATCTACTAAAGTATAGTTAAGAGACAAGGAATGGGTGCTATTGTGGTTTTCATCTTCAGTTATGAGAAATATGTCGATATCTCGATGGGATTAAAAGCAATTCGCTGCAGTAACAGGTCAGATCTGTCAATAACTTGGTCTTACAATAATTATAGTCAAGCTAAACATTCAAATTAAGACATTTTAGGTTTTTGAAATTTGGATAGAAGACTGCACATTGAAATTCAAGCTCTCCTTCCGAACAGAAGTTAGTTCTGCAATCTCGCTGTTGTTATCGCTGTTAAATTATATTTCTATTTTCTGATTGCATAATCTTCGTGAATAATTCATTTTATGTCCTGAAGATGACTCTCGATTAAAACAAACTTATCCCTTTTCACGGAGTTGCATCAGGGCGCATCAAAGTTGGTTAAAAATATTATTTAACTAAAAATTGAAGAAATGCCGTTGAATCTTCTCGACTAGCTTCTAGTGACTTCAAAGTGCTTTTGAAAAAATGGGAGCTTCAACCTACAAAACTCCTCTATTGATTGACGAATGATTGCGCACCAACGAGCACAACGGCGTAGGAACGAGCTGGTTCTTTTAGAAGTCCTGCCTCCGGCTTGTGTCCTGACGATGTTTCCAGTTTTTTTTTCGTATTCTTTTTTTGCATTTTATTCTTGCGCTTCAATGCTACAGCGTACTGGTCAGTTCAGAAATTTTTTATAAATATTAAACGACATGAAATCATTTCTCCACTCGTCAAGCTTTTAGCCTCCTAGAAAGACTATTCCTAAACTTTTTCCCAGTCGTTAGCTAAGGCAAAAATTTTCTTTTGAATGCATCGATGGTTTCCTTCCAGTTCTGCTTGTAAAAATGACTTCTGTGGTTGCCCAACTCTATTGTTAGAGTCTGAGCTTCTTATTTTTAACGTCTACGACAGTGTGATTGGCTTTTGAGGGCCCTATTTTTTCACTTTTCTCTCCTCAGTTTCCATTTTTTCAACTAAAAGCTCATCATCGTTTTCTCTCCCTCATGCGAGCACGATGTCCCTAATTCTTGGTTTTGTATCTTCGAGTTTGATACCACCCAAAAATGTTTGTAAATTTTCTTAGACGCAGCGATTTAAATAAAAAATTATGTTTTTTCATCCAAAAAGACTATAATTGCGGTGTTAACATCAAATAACAGTGAAATTTCCATAAAATTTCAAAATATTGAATAATTATTTGTCAGGCGGAAGCTTGCGCGTGACAGGCACGCAGAGGAGCGACGCGGGCATGTATCAGTGCTTCGCTCGGTCAGACCGCACGACTCTGCAAGACGCGGCTGAGCTGCGACTCGGAGGTGAGACATATTTGCCTGGGGCCATACTTTCAAAACTCGCTGCGTGAACATAAGTACTTACGCTCTACTTTCTTGTCAATGATTGATGGATTTTGCTCGAAAGGCCGTCAATGATTGGCTGATGACCTTACAATCTCTTAACATTTTTTGATAGTATAGGCCCTGAACCTGAAAATCAACCAATACAATTTTCTTTCTTAATTTGCGTCTTTATTTTTACAGCATTTCTCTTTAACTTCACTTCTTGCTGTTTGTTTTTCTGTCTGCTACAAATTTTATAATCGATATTTAACACACTTCTATCTGCCCAATCGATCTGTAATTTTGCACATTTGCGTCGGATCAAGCATAGTCGGAAACTATGCTTGAATCAATTTACAGAATAAATAAAAAAATTAATGAGATATTTTCTTGTATATTAAAAAAATATTAAAAATTGTTTTTAGATGTACAAATAAAATAAGAAATTCATTGTATATGTGTAACATCGGAGACACTGGCCTCTTTAGTAGTGTTGTCTTTAGAAATTAATTTTTAAACACATTTTTATTATAATGTATAAAATTGCAATATATGTTATAAATAACTTTGGCATATGTTATTGTTTGTATTACGTTTTAAATTAAAAATATAATTGCTCTAGAGATCCTGATGCTTGTTTTGGTATGTTTTCCTTCGCAGAAGAATTTTCCAGGATTACAAAATTGTAACCAGTCCGGAAGATTCATATTACTCATACCCACTGTTATAGAGGCTTATTGTAAACGATGAACACAATATAACAAGTTCGTATCTATTTAAGTATAAATTTAAAATGACTAATTTACACACAACTGAAAATAAAATATTCAAAGTTTTTTCACATGTTTATAAATGTTCAATATGTCCCCCTTGTGCTGCACGGCAAACATCTAAACGGTAAACGGCAAACGGCCAAACTCGTCCCACACACGAGAAAGCATATCTTCTATTACTTAGTGCACCGTAGCAGTGATACGGTTCTTCAGATCAAACAGAGCTGCTGGTAGAGGCGGGACGAAATGAGTTGCTGGTAGAGGCGGGATGTAAACAGAATTGCTGGTAGAGGCGGGACGTAAACAGAATTGCTGGTAGAGGATGGACGTAAACAGAGCTGCTGGTAGAGGCGGGACGTAAACAGAGTTGCTGGTAGAGGCGGGACGTAAACAGAGTTGCTGGTAGAGGCGGGACGTAAACAGAGTTGCTGGTATAGAGGCGGGACGTAAATTCCTTGACGTAACCCCAGAAGAAATAGTCACATGGGGTGAGATCAGGTGATCTCGGTGGCCAGAAGTGTAGAGCCAGATCTTCATTTATACTACTGATATTCTAACTACCGCCGCCACCGCCCAATAATTCCGCGTTTGAATAGGTTAAAAAAACTATGAATATTTCTCTTTCTATTGGTGTATAAATTATTCATTTTAAATTTACTTATATGAATGCGAATTTACTAAATTGGGTTAATCATTTATATTAACCCTGTATACTAAACTAATACTTCTGAATTCGTTGCGTGACTTTTAATGAATATTTTCGAAGTGATGTAGCAAGAAAATATAAAACACAGCCAAATATGAGTACTTAATCCAGAACGAGTCTAGTTCGTGAATCCTTTAAAACGACGTGCTCTATTCGCCATTTCGTAGCATTTCATCTGCTAATGTGGACCATAGTTCGGTCCGAATTTCTCTCTCGTGTCATTCTAATTAACTAGAGCAGCAGACACACATCTTTATTTGTGCATCCTAGTCTCAAGATTTCCAGATACACCGAAGCTTCAGGTCGTCTGGGGGCATTAGCCTAATGAGAAAAAGCTTGATAAAGGCAGTCCGATAGTCTATGCCGTCAAAGAGGAGCTCCTTCATGCTGCTCTGCTATTGGAGTGGCTGATAATTATACGATAGTGCCTTTAAAACCATGGTGACATTTCTATATAAACCGTGTTCACACATAATCGAAACTAGTAGTTATTGGGCAGACGGCGTCACCGTTGGATGTTAGATGCTCTCATCAAATGAAAATAACTTGAAAACATTGTTCTTTGATAGCACATATCACGTAGCATTGTCCATATCAGTCAGATTCAGAGGTTTAATTTGTACGTGGTAAGTTGGAAGTTTCAAAAAAGTGTTAAGAATTACCCATCAAAATTTCGCAGCTACTGTCAAAAATACTGATTTTTTCCGAAATTTACTTTCCTTCCCTGACTCTTATCATTACTCCAATAAAATTGTTTGCCGATAAGTTATTTGCTGATCCTATTCAGGCTGTCCTTCACGATTCAAATCGAGAAAAAAAAATATTAGACCAATGAAAGGGCTTGATGAAAATTTCTAGCAACTTCTTTCGATTCTGAGAAGAAAATCCGACTGATAATTTAGGCGACATTATTGCAGGAAATTCAGATCTACATCGTATTGTACAGCAGGGCGGACATTTTATTTTCAAATCAGATCGATTTCCTTTTTAATTTTCTGCATTCTGCATCTCGAAACATCTTTTAGAGAATTCTTTCTCAATCATTCGCTGTAAAAGTCAAGCGTTTCCTGTCCAAGTACTAGCGATATCATTTTTCTGTCAGCAGACAATATGAGATCACCATGAACATTCAATTTGATTTATAATTCACATTCTCTGTATAATATATTATACAGAGAAATTATGTACAAGCTTTATTCTCCTCGCAGCACAGAGATTCAGTATTAAAGCATTATTATAAATTTAAAACATCTTTCCTCCATTATCTCAAAACTACTGCCAGGAAATTGAATTTCAGCTTATGAAATGGCGTGCTCAGAACATTGAGCTAAAGCATAATTATTATAATGTAATGCATGTAACATTGGCTCGCGACGCTCGCTCCCTAGAGCACCAATGCAGATATTAGTTTAATGTTCATGTGGCACCACGCGGTGCCTGCTCCATGTGAACGTGAGATATGAACCTGCTGCTAATGGAGATACCAAATTAAAGTAAAGCTTTCATTCAATTACTTTTATATTTGCTTCACTTACGTATAGCAAAAATATTAGGTAAATAGCACAACGGTGCCGTATGAATCAGGAGAATGTTTGTGAACATTTCGCTATCACAACAGCTAGCCACCTGAGCAAGTGATGTTTGATTGTTTCCTACGTCCCTGCAAGCTCTGTTTTGTTGTATTTTTCTCCGCTTTCGCACCATTCATGAATCAAAAAATAGTTTGGTGATGATCATTTTTATCGTTATAAAATTTTTTCTGTATTTGATTTCGTCATTTCGTGGTATGTTTCACAAACTTGAGAATTCTCATCATTCTCTGCCCATTACTGTCGAGGTAAATAAATTCTGCATTCTTCCTATAAGTAAGCGTAATAGCGCACCCACTACAGCAGTTTTTCAACCTCGTGCAGATAGTTTATTAAGGAGCAAGAACAATGAGTGTTTTTAGATTTGTCACAAAAAATGCAAGATCGCTGTATCAATTATGTAAATCAAGTTTCTGTGCGTATGCTAATCTAAATAACAATATTTATTCAGTTCCTTGCCCTCCGTCTTACACTTAACGATCTATTAGCTGCTCATCACATTCACTTAATTAGCGTCCCTGGATCAAACACTTAATTTAGATTTGTTACCCCGAAACAGCCTCACCGCCCGAGCTGCTCTACAAGTTCATCAGTCAGAAGATGCGGCCGGGACCGAGCGCCTCCCTCAAGTGTATTGCTCGGGGCACTCCAACGCCCACCCTCTCGTGGACGCTCGACGGGTTTCCTCTGCCCCAGTCAGAAAGGTGAATGCATTGGAATAAAACCAGCGCAGTCGATGATTGTGAATTCGTGGGGGCTTCTCTCTGCCCCAGTCAGAGAGGTGAATGCATTGGGATAAGACCTGCGCAGTCGATGATTGTGAATTCGTGGGGGCTTCTCTGTGCCCCAGTCAGAGAGGTGAAAGCATTGGAAGAAAACCTGCGCAGACGATGATTGTGAATTCCTGGAGGGCTTTATGCATTGGAATAAAACCTGCGCAGTCGATGATTGTGAATTCGTGGGGGCTTCTCTGTGCCCCAGTCAGAGAGGTGAATGCATTGGGATAAGACCAGCGCAGTCGATGATTGTAAATTCTTGTGGGGCTTCCCTCTATCCCAGTCGATGAGTTTGTATGATATTAAAAAAAACTGGCAAAAAGATCCAGTGAAATATGGTTAATGTTTTATTATGAACGCCAATCAATTATTAGCGTGGTAATTGACGAATTCAATCATGAAAATGGTCAGAGAATTTTTTGGATGATTACAAAGAATCGGCGAGACTAAAAACAGAAAAATTTCACCTGATACTAGTCATGCGAATACCTGCTTGTTAAGAAACAAAAGTTTCTCACTGGCAATTAATTGATATCCGTAGCTAATTGAAGCTTCCTAATGCTAAATTTGAAACGTCAGAATATGAAATTCAGATTAACCTTAATTTTAATTGCCAATTTGCTTAATTTTAAAATAAAATTAAATAAATAAAATTTTTAAAATTGCTTAATTTTAAAGCCATTTCCCTCGTTTTTTATCTCTTTAAAATTTCTCTATAGTACTCTATCTACTTTGACCTGAAATTTAAATTCTGTGCTGAGTTCGGTGTTCCCCAATTCCAAATGTGTTTAAAATCAATTTAAAATTGCATTAAGATTCTGCTCTGCATCCTAGCATGCGTATTTCAAAATGTGCAACAAAAACCTATTTAAATTGATAACTTATCCCTGAAGGAATTACAGGATTATCAAGCGACTTTAATTTCTTTACGAATGTAGCGGTAATTTTTAAATACATTTCTTAAAACCCAATATTATACATTTGGATTGCAATAAATTAATGCATTCCATAGGTAGAATTTCGACTACAACTATGCCAATCAAATTTTACCATGTACGAGAATTATTGATCGTGATATTATATTAATTAATTAATATTACATGAATAACATCAATTATTATTTACCACATCCATTTATATTATTCGTTGATAGGCGTTTCTTGGGATGCAAAGTTCATGACTACTGTTAGAGGTTCCATACGTTGTGATGATTGCAATGTAGATTAGAATAATTTTTTTGCGTTCCAGGAACAATATTGCGTAACAAATTCCATTACAGATCTAAAGCTTATAGGTTTGAGAAGCATTGCTAGGATATTAAAGAAAGCTTCCGAGAGCTGTCGCCTACATCAAAGGAATAGGCAACGTTCGGTTCTGGATTAATTGGATTTTTCCGCAGTTTTTTATGAATTTCTGAATATTGGAAGCAAAATAATGATTTTTAAATTGTTTCTCAGTGAACTTAAAATAAGGTGTCGCGACCACTATAAATGGTTTAAAGAAAAGTTCGGAATTTGAAGTGACATTATGATGTATATTTTGAAATTTATGCCAGGGACCTCCTTGATACATATACACAATTGATATTGGAAATCCGATTTCTGATTGATCAACACAATTCACACTGAGTTGCAATTTTAACATATCTTTATTTGTCACTCGTCACGAAAATATCAAAAACATGTTTTTCTTATTAATTAGGACGAGTATTAAAAAAATATTTTCTACTTCACGAAAATAATACTTTCCTAACTAAATTCGAGTAAATTATTTCTTGCGGGATTTTCCAATGCATTATGTTCTCATGCTCTCATCTTCTTCGCACCTGACAATGCGTATTTTAAACGCCTTTCATTTAGAGCATGTCTCTCAGCTCGAAATATTTTCAACGCTGCAGCGCTCTTTATGTTGAACCTGCCAAACTGATTGATCTATCGGCCACACTGGGACTGCCCTATCCTTCCCACAAGTTAGAACGTTTTCGTTCCTGTTCATCCCCGGATGATTCATTGCACAAAGCGCTCGCGATATAAGGAAAACCCGAATTTTGAACTTTTTCTTGATGAATTATTTAAAGAATTAAGGTTGATGATCTTTGTTGCTTGAAAATCGTGAACGATGCCATCTAATACATGATTTAGTGCTAGCGAGCTGGATCTTAAATAGCGGGAGCAGTCAATTTGAATTTGATGTTATCGGCTTTAGGAAACAGTCGTTGAGATCTGATCAAATTTCAAATTCAAGCTTTTCTGAGGTTCTGAAAATAGATACTGTTTCTAGAATACTTCAATTTGAGATATTTATGTTTGTGAACATGGAGTTGATTTGAAAATTTAGTTAGATATATTATTATAATTTAGTGTCTTGTGATTAAAATTAAGATTGAATACGATAGTTTTCAATGATGATAGGCTCTTGAATCGCGTGAGTTCTGAACGAATTTACTTTGCAAAATGTCGTTCAGTCAACAATTCAGCCCCTCTGTTGAGCGGATAGTTAATAACTTCCTAGGTCATCACTTTATACGCGGCGGAGAGAAAGATAAAATGAATCTACTGTCACGATTCCTTTGTTCATGTCTTTGTGGTGGCCAGTTTTGTGTGCCGTACTCGAGCAATATGCTCCTTTAAAAATCTCTAGGACGTCAGTCTTTTTCGGTCATCAGTGATCGATCGTCCAGATTCACAAGATTAATGAGTATTTCGGGTACTATATTTCCCTGCTGGGCCTTTGCGTGAAAATGTTTAAAAAGAGAGATGAAGCAATGCCCTGATCGTGTTTTCATGTTTGTGCAGTGCAAATTATTCATACTCTTAACGATTTCGAGTTAATTCTTGCAATGATGGAGTTTCATAATAGGCTACAATTGTTGATTCGTTACATTGTAGTAAATTTGTTCAATTAATAACGCATTGTTGGCAGGAAGAAAAGTTGCTCACCTAATTCTGGAACCATTGTAGCTGTGCAGCTTATAAGTTCGCTCGATCGGAGCGGCATGATTATTCTTTACTATTTTCTTCCTTCACAATGATAATTTTTCTACCAAGGAAGGAGCACAGGAACATGACTTAGTAGTTCCAAGGTATGAGATGAAATTAATATCAGTTTTATATGATATAATACCGGTTTTACAATTTCCAAACAGTGGTGTAAACAAGATTGTCCTGTACAAGATTTATAACTGGCATCTGTTCAAGAAATATTATCGACTAACAAGTAAAGATATTGTTAAAGATGCCCGTATTTAATCAAAATATAACTCCCAATGTTTGAATTTTATGACTAAAAGTGTGTGGTTACCATCATCACAATTAATTTATTGTCCAGAAATCATCCAGTGACAATCAGTGACCTCAGCATCGTCCTAGAACACAAAACTCTCAATAAACATTATTTACATGCACACAACTCTAGTCTAAATAAATTACTGTAGAAACTCTGCAACATAAATTATCGAGGTTCGATTGAGGGACGATGCTTCATCGCGTGATCCCAGACGAGCTTGTGCCTGAAAAATTCTAGAATAAGAAGGACCTTTCAAAGTAAATATAGCAACTCAACTGTTCCAGGAATCTGTCGTACGTCTCAAAGTAAACAATCTGAACTCTTGTTCACCCATAGATAACCGGAGGTACACTTCTTGAATGATTCAATATTAGTCTTGCGGAAGCTTCACAGTTGATAAGTTGGTGATTTAAAATGACGTCGTTGCCTTCAATAAAGGTAAAAATACAGGATTTTAATTTGAGATTCAGAAGGAAATGATTGTTGGTTATTTTCTGTTGCAAGCATTATTAAAGTTATAGCATAAAATGAAATTAAAAAAATTATCGGCGCTTATGTAACTTACCTCCTAATAATCTGCCGAAATAATATGTTTCCGCAAAGCTTCTATTCATGCTGTAACAGAGTTTACAGCAACAATAATCTTCAACTATTTTAGAAATACAGGTTCGAAATATTTAATGCAGATAAAGGGTGCCTATATTATTAGACGAAATAACACTAATACATCAAGGATACGAGTTGTTTGAGAGGCATGAAGATTGCCGGGACTTATGCTCTCACAGGAAAGACTCTACAAAAGTCCATAATTCAACAGACACTAAAAACTGTCAACCTTGTCGATCGATGCTGTCGATTGCAGCTCGTCAGCCTGTCTGATTTGCGGAGGACATTATAATGTAGCCGTGCTTTGGATGCAATACTGAATCGGCTTACAATTTGCTATCATAGAACGCTAACTCTAAATAGAAGAATAATAAATTACAGCAAAAATGTATATTAATTAAATTCGTGCTATAATCTGCAATTGCGACTGTTTTTTTTCAGGATAAAGAGAAAGAAAGTTATCGTTTTCTTTTAGTTCATTGCACCATTGGACGCGTATAAGTTATAATTCTATAATACGATCGAATAGAAACAGATCACTATTATTGGTTTCATTGATAAAGTACTTTTTTATTCGTTTTATGACCGTGTAGTGAGTTGAATAAAAAAAGCAATCGAAAAAATTCGTATTAGAGGCAAATGAAACGTTTTGTATGATATTATTTATTACGTTTCTAATATTACCCAATATTTAAGGATTTTAATTTGCGCTAAAAAAGAAATTTCCAATCGTTCTTGCTGTGACTATATTAATAGAAGTTTAAATTTTATGTTGATCATGCGTTCGAAACATACAAATGCTATTACTGACCTATGCAACATCTCACTCCTCTCACATCAGACGATTATATTAATAAATAATGTTTTTAACCTCTTCTTATAGTTTTGTGAGAGTTAGATATCAAGCATCATTTGAAATTATTTAGAACCGCATCGTGTATTTCAACATATTTCCTAAAGAGACACTTTTCCTGCAATCATATTTTTTGCACTTAATGAATTTCAATCAATTTAGAAACTAATCAAACCTTTAATTAAAATTCACTCATTAATACTGTCAATATTCTTTCCTATTCCTCTGAGGATATTCTGAGGTAGGATACACCTCAGAATATCCTTCCTCCTGAGGACATTCTTCCTCAGAATATCCTCAGTCCTAAATACTGAGTGCTTCTTTAAGCTCCTGGCTCGTTCTGTTGATAGAATACGAACTAAGAACTTCAGCACGGTCACGGAATGACCTAAGTTGTAATGCTTGCTTTCAGCTTCGAAGTCTGAATTCAATGATCTCTTTGAAAGTAAATTGGCGAGGTTTCACGCTATATTAATCTCATTTACCTGAAAAACTTGATAACATCGACACTTGGTAATTTGTGAGGAAGTTTAGAACTCAAACTAAGCTCCAAGCTGCATTGCAAATTATTTCTCCTTATTCATTTTTCATTTCCTTTTATTCAAGTTTAAATATACGAATATAATTATTACTGCAATTTTCACTGTAAATTCTACTCAAATAATAAATTAATTTATAGAGATAAGAAGTCTTTATGTTTCCAGCATTACTCCTAGTGTGAACGTAGGTATATTACGTATGTACTCGCCTTTATTTACTGTTTTTGACTAGTTAGATACTCAATTTCCATGGTAATTACTATTGTTAATACTACACAATTTAAATTCAAGAGGCTGTGTCGTAAACTTTATTGATAATTGTGTATCATAAAGGGTAACTAAGGCAATTATTTACCGCAGCTCTATTGCGATTGAATAATTGCGTGACTTCGTAGGTTACGATGAATGAAAAGACGACGTCACTTTAAAAATGTGCTCAATTAAAGTGCGTAATTATTGACTTTATTGGTAAGCGTGCACTATAAAGGATAACTAAGGCAATTATTTACCGAAGCTGTAATACTGGTGAATCGTTGGGCGACTTCGTAGGTTTTAACGAATGAAAAGACGACGTCACTTTAAAAATGTTCCTAATTAGAGTGCGTAATTATTGGGCTTTGTCAGTTATCCGACGCCTCATTTCCTAACGAACCATTGACTTGGTCTACGTGCAGGATGCTGGTGGGGCAACACGTGACCGGACTGGGTGACGTGGTCGGCCACGTGAACATCAGCAGCGTTCGCGTGGAGGACGGCGGCCACTACGCGTGTACGGCCACCAACGTCGCGTCGTCTGTCACCCACGAGGCACCGCTCAGCGTCTACGGTCAGACGAAAAGCAAAGAAAATTATTCATATTCATAACTAATATTCTTGTTTATGATGCCATAACATGCAATTATAGATCTGTCACTCTACCCTGAATACCAAAAAAAAACTAGACTTTCATGTCGCATATTTATGCTGTTAATATAGAAATGACTATAATGATATGTAATTTTGGTATGAAAACATTCTGTTATTAATGATTTCATCATCTGTTTATAAATAAATTTGTTAAAGATTTGGACTATTAATGTGATGACAGGTCCCCCACACGTCCGGCCGCTGGGCAGCGTCACGGCCGTGGCAGGGGAGACGTTCAGGGTGCGCTGCCCCGTCGCCGGGTACCCCATCGAGACCATAACCTGGGCTAAAGGTGATTTTTCCTAACTTAATATGCATTCAAATGCTTTATATAATTCCATTTCATATGCATAAAAATTACCGCTAATCTATATATAAAAATTTTCTTTTGGATTGCCTTAAAGACCTTCCCGTAATCATGCCTGCACTTAGAGAAGTGAATGGTACTTCTATCGTGAATGGGACTGCTGTTGTATTAAGCTCCCTGACTCAGTTCGGTTGTATCAGCGATATACCCGTTCTCTGCCCGTGTTGTAGGTATGAAAATGAGTCACTATTTAGAAAATATAACGTGTTTATTTTCTGAGCGTGTGGTTTGTCCCCCTCCCCATAGATGGCCGAGTGTTGCCCAACAACCGCCGCCAAGAGGTGAGCATCTCAGGCGTGTTGTCCATCAGGCAAGTGTCCCAGAAGGAGGACAGAGGCTCCTACACCTGCACTGCGGCCGACAAGCAGGGCAACACTGCCACGCAGACCATGCACCTCGACATCGTGGGTGAGTTTCATCGGTAAAAGATGACTAATAAAAAAAGATGACTAATAAAAGAATAAAATTAACAAGTTTCAGTTAAAAGCAGACCATATACCTCGACATATTGTGGGTGAATTCCATCGGTAGTTGCTAACTACCAGGAATAACATCAACAAGTTTCAGATGAACACAATCCCGCCTTAACTTTGATGATACGAATTTATAACCATTGAGTTGTAAATTATTTCTTGATTTGCTTCTGCGTCGTGATACTTAAATTTTTAATATAGTGCCGCGTACATTGAAACTTCTTCGAATGTACGTAGCTTAACTACAGAATTTAATTCAACTAACAGTTGAATACCTTTAATAGTAATGATATTTAATCTATATAACAAACTCTTGTCATACTCGTAACATTATTGCTGGAATTATAGCTTTTTAAAATTGCCCCCGATAGTACAATAGGTGTTGTTTCCATTGGTGACTTCGGATAAATATTCTGATTCAAAATGGTTACCTATTTCCATATAAATTAGTCTGCCGTTCAAAATATTGATGTCTTAAAATCTCGACTCGATTAGAAATTCATTAGATTCATTATCATTCATTTCATTAGTTATAATTTAGAAAAAATACAGCTGCATTTTTATGTTTTTCTTCCTTACATTGCCGAGCGATAATTACTGTAACATCATTGGCTTTATTTTACTTGCAGCAGCGAACGGTGATTCCTGAAAAATAATTGTGTCAACTTCCTTAGCAGTAACGCTCAATGATTCCGGTAGCATCAATGAGTTTACATTACTAGAGGTAACGAGCGATAATTTTGCAAAATCATAGAGTTTATTTTTTTTGCAGTATCAAGCGACGGTTCTTGTATCGTCATTTGGTCTATTTTCTTCTCGTTAACGAATGATGGTTCGAGCGCCAGCCATGAGTTCAGTGCACTTGATTTTAAATCCTTCGTGAAATTCGTTTGAAACCTATTTCGAATTCGTATTTTCATACGGAATTGAACGCTTTACGGGAATTTGTTAGATTTACAATTTTCAATGCTGAATTCAAAATAATAAATATTGATCAACAATTTCAGGCAAATCGTTTGAAAACTACTGGAATGACAGATCTTCAACGATGAGAGTGAGCGCATCCTTAGTTGAAATTTTTCTAGCATTCTCTTCACTTTATAAACAAACGTTCCTTGATGTAAAGATCATCTTTCAGAATTTTTCTCGTATTTTTCGTATCGCACTGACTCGCTCCATAAACACCTGAGGCTGAATAATTTATTCTAACGAATTCCTGAAAATATCTGAGAAGAGGGGAGAAAATCCCCCTCTCGTGGCACAGACAGAAACAAATGCTGATATTATGAAAATACGATGGAGAAATTACGTGAGGGAAGCTTACGAAAACAATGAATAAATGCGCATGCTTTTGTCTGGGGAAAGAGTCGTACGCTGGAGCAGAGTCCCCGCATAAGTGCTTTGGCTTGTAACTTTGCTCGTTCTTAACGATAATTCTAGAACTGAAAGAATTCCTGAAAAAAACGAACGGTAATAAAATATAATTAATATTAAGTGATCTATTCACTTGGACGTTTGTACTCATGAGTACCTAACTTTGAAAATTACTCACTGCTATGGAAATGAGGCTTGAAACATTAAGAAACTCGCTTTGACAGAAATGATACTTGAAAATTTACTTTAGCATCTTATTTAGACGAAATTGATTCGCCATCTTCAAATGCTGAAATGTTATTAGTGATAGAAAAGCGAGCTCATCATCACAGTTTGCATAAAAAGCTTATATCACAGATTTCCGACCTTCTACCCACAATCTCATTTCGAATCTTGGCAATCTTATTTCGAATCAGTGATCAAATATTTTTTTCGAAAATTTGATCACTGTCCCCTGATCTAGACTTAGTCATTTACCTCTGATTGACCATGCACTTTTTGAGAGAGCCCCTCACATATTGCATACATACAGAGCAGTCGTCATCATCACACGAAACACTTGAGTAAGTTTGATAGAGAATGATATGTTATCATACGTAAGATTTGACGTAATATGCTCGGCTGAGCATCGTAAATGCGAGTAGGCACGCAACATTCGCGTCAGAGCGACATTCACAAACTATCAGTGAAACGTATTTTGAGTCATATTTTGCACCAGTGCAATATAACTGCAAAAAGTTACATCGATCATAGAACTAGCATCTGCTAGTTCTATTGATTTTTGATTGATTTTTCATATCATACGTATTTATCATGGCTAAACAAATTTCGTGTGGTTAATAATATAAGCTATAACGTCCAATGAATGACAGTACTTGTCTGAGTTAATTTCCTAAAGTTTATTATTAGAATATTATTATATTATTATTAAAATATTTTAGTACAATATTGCTGAATAAATTTTCTAATATCCCACGGCTCATGACAGATATAACCATGCTGTGGATTAGTGTCCAATATAATATTTTGTTTGAGTTTAATCTCTCAAATTTTGTTATTGGAATATTACCTGTCAGCAGAAAAATTAATATCAAAATATCTATCAGACATGGCGACCTCGTGATTAAACAGAAATTTCAATGTTCTAAATATTATGTTAAATTTTGAAGCTAACACTTTGGATGATGAAAAATTATAAAATCAACCACTCATACTCAGAATAATTTTTCTTCTCTGTGTAATTATTCTGAATTATATTCAGTTAATTTTGTTATTTTCAAGGAAAATTAATCTTTTAAAAGTATTCGAAATTATATTAGTAAATACAAAATATCTATCCCTAAAAACTTTCAAACCCACGTAAAGAAATTATTCAAGGTAACAAATCGAATTTATATAGAAACACCACAGGAAACAAATAATTGGCTAAAAAAAGCATTTAGTTTAAAATACTCATGAAATTGAAAATTTTTACCCACCCGCTGCTACCTGTGACGATTATGATGAACTGTTTCGTTTTTTAATTGAATCATATAGTGTAATAGAATCAAATATAAATCACTGCTTTAGGAGCAAATGCTTTATGGATATTTTTTAGATCAATTCTGCGAAAAGCAGTAGGTATATAATGAAAACGTATTGGGGAGACGAAGCTCAACCGTTCAAACCACACCCATAAATGCCAAACCCGAAACATGTCATACCCAAAGCAGATCAAAAATATATAAGTTCCACACGAACCATCAAATTTGAGACGTATATGAATGAGAAAAACTAGAAAGATGGAGACATAGTAAGAAATTTTAGATCCCTAGGCACCCTCAGATTCATTTGCATTATCATGCATTATCAACAAATTTATCTGAGCATGTGGAATTAAAAAGACATTTCTCTAATAATGAGCAGTTTAAATTGATACTAAACAAAGGTATATATCAATACGCTTGCATAGATACCTATGATGGAATGAATTCAATTAGTTTGCCGTAGAGGGATGAATTCTATTACAACTTAAACGATAATCATATATCTGATAAAGAATATGAGCACGCTAAAGAGGTTTGGGATGTATTCAAATGCAAAACATTCAAAGATTATAATATTCTCTACCTCAAAGTTGATACCTCGTTATTAAGTGAAGCGTTTGAGAACTTTAGAGATACATGTTTGAAAACGAATAAATTAGATCCAGCTCAATATTTCATAACTCCGGGTCTATTATTTGATGCTCTATTCAAGATTTCTGATAAAGAATTAGATATGAAAAACGATCCTGATGTGATGCCATTCATCGATAAAGGTGTTAGAGGTGGGGTTTCAATGGTATCCACAAAATATGCTAAAGCAAAGTTTCAAAAACTGTATAATAAAACATAAGAAGTACCATACAGTTTCGTGTTGATCAATAAAGATGAGCATCCAGATTCTGGAAAGTATTTCAAAAATTTAAATCAATTATATTTTCCAAAGAAGTATCTCACATCGTAACACTAGGACAAATCCCGGGTTCTGGGTTGAAAAAGTGCATGGTCAATCGAAGGCAAATGATCAGGTTTTTGATCAGGGAACAGTGATCAAATTTTTGATGGCCAACATTCGAAATAAAATTTTGCGTAAATGGTCGGTAACCTGTTATTTAAGCTGTTAATGAAAACTGTGGTGATGAGCTCGCTTTTTACCTACTGAAAATGATTTAAAAAGTTCGCGTATCTTGATTTTATTTCTTTGTTGCCATAATCAATCTATTTGCACTGAAATCATTCAACAATGTCGATAATGATTCTCTTCTTTTAAGATCAATGAAAAAGGAAGTTCTATAAAATAATAGCAAAGCTCTGCTTCAGCTACGCTGAGACTGGTTGCAAAGGTTTTCTAATTATAAATAAGACGAAATAAAACATTTTTATAATTGTAGATGATTTGTGGCAAAAACATTCTATACTCGTACAGCTAACAAGTAATTTTTTTATGTTATTTTAGTGCAGTCCGTTTAACTTGAACTTAACATTTCCACCAGAATATTGACTTTTGCATTCAAAAGAAGCAAATATAGATTTAAAGTCGAACCTCATTATACCGATGTCGTTGTGTTCGTTCTGCCATCACATCGCTTGGCTGTTGCATAGAGCCGCCCAGCGTAGCACCGTTCAGTTTGCCGGACTCTTTGGTCGTGGGTTCACGCGTGGCCGTCCAGTGTGTGCTGGATCGAGGGGACCCTCCTGTCCAGCTGACGTGGCTACACGACCATCGGCCAGCCACTGATCTTCCTGGTGTTACTGTGACACCTCTGGGGCAGTTCGTCTTGGCTCTCGTCATCGAGGAAGTGAAGCCCGAGCACGCTGGCAACTACACATGTAAAGCCAGCGGACACTCGAGTGATGGAGTCATCGATGCCACTCACTCCTCCGTCCTGCTTGTTCACGGTACACTAATCTAATCAATTATTAACCTGTGAATAACCAAATTCATTTCCAGAAACGGTGCTGCGGAGTCTTCTACTTTGGGGATTTTTCTTTTTTTACGTGTATTTTCAGGTGAAGACACCTTAAACATCAATACCATTTATCAGTCCCCCCAGCCATCCGGCCGTTCGAGTTCGGCTCAGTGATAGCGGGCATGCGCGCTCGAGTGTCATGCCTCGTGGCGCTTGGAGACCCTCCTCTTACCATACGGTGGCTCAAAGATGGCTTGCCTCTTGACACACCCATGGTACACGACATTATCATGACTCATCCTGACGACTACACGTCAAGCATCGTCTTGGCAGCTGTCGAGCCTCGTCACGCTGGCAATTACACTTGCCTAGCGCGCAACCCGGCGAGAGAGACGAGTTATACAGCCGTGCTCGACGTGCAGGGTATTTCTCTCGAACCAAATTTGTAATGAGCAGTCAACCTCCGCACCAGCACCAATGCAATTAACTGCACTCTAAAGCACCTCTGTGTTCTTGTGATTACTTCTATTTCACAACACTAATTATTTCGTTTCCAGCACTTTTTAAGTTGGCTGTTGATTTGTTCACCCGTTGATTTTAAAGTTCGTCGTCATCTACTTTCATTCGTTCTGAATCGAAATTGAATGCTGTGAACAGGATTGAATGCATTCAAGCTCTTCAAATTCTTGCCTCAGAAATTTTGATGGCTTCAGAAAATGGTTAACGTAAGAACTATGGAATGTATAATATAGTTTCAAAAAAATCAATACACAAAACTTCTACATGAAACTCTACTTTCGTTTCCATATTATTCTTATTTTGCCTAAAATTCGCTCACGATACCAGTCATATTTAACAAATAATTCCTTTCTTTTATGTTGAGTCATTAATAGAGAGATTTACAGAATTCACGTTTACTTCTTCTTAGTAATCAATTATTGGCGAATTTTTGTCTTTATTTATGAATAACAAATGCTTGTTAATACAGACAAGCTCACTTGTGTGTCTCTATTATACAATATACTGTATGCATGCAATTGCACTTAAAAAACTCGAGCACTTTTACCTTCAAACACTTTTGCACTCACCAATGTTTGTGCCTTCTTATTGCACTACGTATTGTACACACTTTAGTAGCAATAATTTAAAATGTTAATTTAGAAATAGATGAAATTATCCAAGTTGGAAGAAACTCAATAGGCTTTTCATACCTATAATTTACACATTCTGGTATATTTCGAAATTCTGAATGCAACTCTTAAAGTTGCATTCAGGAAACGAATAAACAACTACAAAGTTGCAGTCCAGGAAACCAATAAACAAGTATAAAGTTTCAGTCCAGGAAACGATCAAACAAGTTTCACACTCCCTCATAGTCTGAGGGAGTGTGATCATCTCAACTCCTTCATATAGTAATGGAGATTTGACATCGGGACTAAATTTGACAATCTTTAATTTCTCACTAAAATTACTCAATTACTAAAATCACCTGGATGGTTGTAAAGCTAAATTCCGTAATTTCTTGGCAATTTTTGCTGATTGCCTCTGGTAGCGGAGCCACTGAAGGCAAGTCAGTCCGTAAGTTAGAAACGAAGTTGGACGCAACAAGTTGTTTGGGCTCGCCAAGTTGTCTCGTTATCGCTGAACGCTCTTCCAGGGCAACAAAGTTTGTTCAACGACGTTGCAAGATAAGCTATCTGATCTGCACCAGAGTCTGGATCTTGACGGGTTCCAAGCCGCTAACTCTTAGTGTAGATTATATACGTATTATTAGGAAAATTCATCAGCGTTCAAATTCTTATTAGGTCACTATAGACAATTCAATCATTTCCTCAATTAAAAAAAATGTAATCATATCAAAGCTGCAAAGATTTTAAATTTGGAAGGTAACTTGAAGTTGCAACCCATTTATTATTCTCATCTTTATGCACAAGTCTAGGAGTGCAAGGTATATTCGCAACAATGGTTGCGATCATTAAATTAGATAAAATGAATTGATGTAAACATTTAATAATGGATTCGTATATCTTCTGCAGCAGGAGCATGAATTATGCAGTATATCACTACGTTTTCTGTGTTCATTTCACTTTAAATTGACTCCAGTAGATCTATTTATGATTCTCAGAAATGTGTTACCTTTGAATACCTATAAGATTAATGAACGTTGAGCACGCATGATTCTTGTGGATAGAATTAATTTACTTTTACTGGCGCAAACAACCGAGTCCACCTCATAACTCCATCACGTCATATGAAACTGGGTCCACCTCATAATTTTATCAAATTAACATGGATATATGTCAATTTCTCTTTCATTACAATCTATGATAAATTTTAATGTAGAAAGGATCCAAAGCTTGAAAATGCAACTCGATAATTATTTATTACGCATCCATTCAATAAACCTTATTATTAATTCCACTCCTTGAAGTTCTTCGCTCATATTTTAACATCTCATTTAAACCTGAACACCCTCAGAACCACCACGCTGGGTACAGCCCCCTGACCAAGTGAGTGTTGTGAAGGGGGAGGTAGCTGTGCTGCAGTGCCTCGCTCAGGGCTTTCCTACACCGACCATCTCGTGGACAAAAAACACCAAAGGTCTGAGCAATATTTTATATATTTAAGATTACCCTGTAGTATTTAAATCACGGGGAATGCAATTTATACTACACTTCCAAAATCCCGAGGGAATCAGAGGATAACACTCGAGAAAATGTATACAAAGACTTTTCTTTTGGAAGTACTGCACAGTAAACTTTTCTTCTATTTTTTCATTCATTTTTATTTTAATCTATTTCATTTTTCTTTGTTCTTCGTTAATTTATTTTACTTGAGTGATCTCACGTTGAACATTTATGCCACTCATTCGTCTAATGAACCATGCGGAAATTGATTTCACTTATGGGTCATTGCCATCCTCTCACCTCAACTGTTTTTATTAAAACTCCATATAAAACCATTATCAATTCATTCTGGAAGCGTCTATTGAATTTTTTCACTCGTTTTGGCAGGCTTATCATCCATCATCATACAGACCAGAAAAAAATGTTTTCTATTGTTCATTAATTAACCATCCATTTCATCATGTAAAAGGGGTGATAAGAATAATAATATTTATAAATTACTCGGAGCATCTTTTCTCTCACATTTAAAGTGAAATATTCACCACTAATGGGTGTACTATGACACCAACATAACGATACTATTTTTTAAAATATTACTCATTCTGATCCACAAACGGCCCCAGCTTTCGTTGCACATCATCTTGCGCACATCTACGTCTAACGACAGACAGGCAAGACACAACGATGGTGTTATCTCGACACGCTGGCATTTCTTTTGCAGTCGCATCCTAATTTAGAAAAACCTATGTATTTTACTCGGAAGAATTCTCGCTTAATCCCTATAACGTCTGGCACGTCTGTCGTGTGCTCCATGTAATCCGTGACTCAGATTCCCTCTCAGAGGAGATTTGTGTCTCTCACGTAGACAGTCGAGACAACTACCTGGTCCTGGGACATCTTCCTCTCGATAAATGTTATTCATGCCCAGTCGTCATCCATTGCCCCATTGAATCTTACACGCTAGATAAACCATTTTCTCCTGCAATACACCATTGTTTTAAAATATTTATGTCATAATCTTTTTAAGATTTCTTTTGTTGCATTTAAAATAAAATTCATGTTCCGAATTCTAATTTAATTGCTAAATTATTCGTTTCAGTCCCAACGGCAGAATGATTTGCAGACAATGTTTACTTTTTCAGTTAACTATATTATCGTGTACATCTATTGGATTAAAGAGAATAGAAACCCTGCAAAGATTTTCCATCATTGAATCAATTCTGACTTGAAATAATTGAAAGTTTGGGCTGTTCGATTTCCACACTTTGCATATTTTTATAAGATTAATTGTTCATCGCAACTAACTTTTCACTTTATCTATCTTATATCAATATATTTAATTTAAAAGTAAAAGTTATTGAGTTATCGTGATTACTTACTTCGCACTAATTTTCATTCAGGCAACCGACTCGGTTCTAACAGCCACTCCAACCGACTGTCCTTACCGAATTTACCAAATTTGGCCTTCCACTCTACCCATCTGTCGCTTTTCACCTCACGAAGTCGCGGGCACCAAATGCAATACCGCTCATCTGCGACAGACTTTTTACCACACGGAGCGTTAGTTCTGGGCTTTAGAAACAATGACGTCCATCATGCCACATTCCTGGGGGGAAGTGGAAACGTTAACCTTCAAGGTTCCTCTCGGGGCACACACAACAACGTGCATCCAGGGACCCGAACTCGTCCATCAGAAAGCCAAGAAGTTGTAGGCATGGACTTCCACCGCGCGATGATGGGCAGCAGACGCCTAACTACAGACGGCAGCATGAACATCCCGGGGGCGATGAGCTTCCCTAACGGCACGCTAGTGATACAAGCAGTCACTGAACTGGCAGAAGGAAGCTATATTTGTGAAGCTACCAATGGTGTGGGAGCTGATATATCAGAAGAAGTTACGCTCACAGTGCATGGTGAGTACTAAATTACTAGTAAATGTTATTGGTTTGAGTTTGATATGCAATATCATTTGAAGACACTCATTATAAGTAGTATTTTTGCCATGGATGGACATGAATTCTATTGAATTTCTGTTGAATAATCGTTATCTGCTCCGTATACATGAACATTTAAATGGAAAAGGCAGCAAATTTAACAGGTGTTTTTGAGCTGGTCTGAATCGCAATTTGTAAGACTTGCGAAACTTTTATTTCGGGACCGTGTTCATGCTCGATATTTTTCTCACTGATTTGAGTTGTATTTACGCCAAAAATTGTACATGGATGTTACGGGAACTCATTTTGTTTAATTCTTCCGAACCCGATTGGTCAACATCTCAAACATCGTTTTTAATTTTTCATTTATCATTCATCCATTCAAAAGACAGTCATGTCAATATCTATGCTGCGATATCACTATGGATTCGTCTGAATAAATTTTCATTCGCGTTGCCACTCGACAAACTCCTATTGTTCACGTTTTTTTAATTTACTTTATAATAATAATAGTAATTATAATAATATTCAATAGTAATAATAATAATAATTATTTTATTTTTATTATTATTATTATTATTATTATTATTATTATTATTATTATTATTATTTGCCGCAAAGCTCCTCCGACGTTGACCGGCAAGGACCGCATCGAGGCTCGCCGCGGTGACGCCGTCACCATCAAATGCTCGGCTGAGGGCGACCCGCCGCTGTCTCTTGTACTCACGCCGCCCGGCCAAGTCGATCACAGGCAAGAAAAAGTTTCAGATGATAATAATTAATATTATTAACATCTGAAATTAATTAATTTATCTATAATTTCAGATTTATATAATTTTATAAATGTTAATTTAAAAATAATTAAACATTTACTTTGGGCGTGTATCGATTGTACTTAAGCTGGTGAATATTCTGGTAGGTACTTGGATATCATCTTTCAAGTTCCATATTTTGACTTTCGATGTTTGGGTTTTCTCGAGATGCAACTTTCGAATGTATTTTTAATTATTTTTAGTCTCTAATATTTGATGTCCGAATGGTAAGTTGCACTTGAGCAGTGAAAATATTCCCGAAAATTTTCTATCTATTTTTTGTTCAATTTCCATACAGCTATTTAATTCAGTCTTAGGTTGTTCGCATTCGATCACAAATAACCGTGTCTTTCTTTCAATAAAACTTTTCAATTTGAGTACTTCTGAATGCTATTATAGCTAACTTATGATGTCATTCAATAAGTCATCTACCTATTTGGCTCAATTGCTACTTTATTCTCCTTTAACTCAATAAGTTGGGTTTTCATTAATTAAGCACCGGACACCAACGCACTAAAATTGTTGAACTGTCGTTGAAATAACATTTCGTTACCACTGTCGTACCGGAAATGTACACATGCTTCCAAACTTCTTCCTTGAGGAGAAAAATTTCTCAGGTTTCTAAACTTTTCCTCTGCTTTAAATTTCGCACAGATACGAAAAGTTTTCAGGGCCCAAACATGGCACGGAGTTTCCCAGAGGAAGTTCCTCAGATGACAAACAAGTCCAAGAGGTGAGAATTTCTCTTCGAAGGAACAATTTTTTTCAATTCATATTAATTGAATCGTTCGGCATATTTCAAAGACTTCATTAGCAATCTTTGAACATAGTTGTTTTAGCTTTATATATATGTATTCAGATATAACTTCATACTCTCACGGAAATTAAATCCAAATAATGCTTTTTATCAATTGCTTGCTTCTTTCAATACATACTTTGAGTATCAGAGCTAGCTGATTGAAACTAATATCGTAAATGATAATTGTTTGAATTTTACCACGTAAATTTTCATGGGCGGCTATAGTCACATTCTGTCTCTATTCCGAGTCTATAGTCCCATTCCGAGTCCCATACTGGCTATAGTCCCATTCCAAAAAGTATCACTACCAACTTAAATTGAACACGTCTGTAAAACATTGGAGGACATTCTGACATCTCTGAATTCTCTGCCTGAAAGAAAGTTAGAAACAAAATTTCACAAATATGAATTCAGCTTCAAGTCAAAATTTCCTTTCAATTTAAAATTCAGATCGTGCTTAGAGAAGCCCAGCCCTTGGACTCCGGCTACTTCATCTGCCACGCCAGCAACCCGTACGGCCAAGATACGAGACGCATACAACTTCTCGTGCAAGGTAGCGTGCTTGTACATACAATTACTTAGTAATTCCTAGATGACTCAAGAAGGTATTTTCGCGCAACTCACTTAATCTTGGAGATCAGAATATATTAATTTCAGATTTTATTGTCAGTGATTCGTGATAAGTATTTAGCAGATTATGTTTTCAATGTGATTGTTTAATTGTTATGCCAGGTATTCTTTCAATTCCTTAATTTTTGCCAGAAGAGATACTCTACAGTATTGCTTTAGAAAAAATTAACAATTTTATTCTTAAAGAGCTGTTCTTTTGAACGAATAGCTATCAACATGAAAATTGAAAGCAGTTAAAAGCGTTTATGACTCTTATTTATTAAACATGCAATAATGGTTTGCCACCTTCTATATTGCACACCCAGACGTGCCGTCTTCACCCCGAGACTTGCGGGTGATGAAAGAGGACAGTCGCTCAGCACGGGTGACCTGGGCAGCGCCAGTCTCCCCCAACACTCCAATCGCCAGCTACAACGTGCAGTTTAGAGAGGCTTTCGGTAGGTGAATTGATTCAATCAATCACTGGAAATAATTTTTTGTAATATGAATTGATGTGAAATCAAATAAATAACCTTGACAAACTCACTCATTTAATTCAGGGGTTCATTCCATCGATTTTTCGCGTTAGAAGTAATTTTTTAACATAAATTTGTGTGAAACCAAATAGATAATTTTGAACTACTCACTCATTTAATTCAGGCGTTGATTCCATAGATTTTTCGCGTTCTACTGAGCAGGTGGAAACAGTTGGAGTGGATCAGACGTTCGTCAGGTGACGGCAGATGGAGCGGCGACATCAGTGCATCTAACTGACCTGCTGCCTGCTACTGAATATCAGGTGCACTGCACTCTAACTGACCTGCTACCTGCTACTGAATATCAGGTGCACTGCACTCTAACTGACATGCTACCTGCTACTAAATATTAGGTGCACTGCACTCTAACTGACATGCTACCTGCTACTAAATATTAGGTGCACTGCACTCTAAGTGACCTGCTGCCTGCTACTAAATATCAGGTCTTAAAATCCTTCTAAAATTCAATTACAAACTTTATCCAGCTAAAATATTTTCATTGTTCGAATGATAAATCAAGGTTAGCTGCATTTAATTGTTAGCTTTGAGTCATCTTGGGTTACAAAGCTTTAGGTATATGTGGTATATAACTTTATAAGCAAGGGTGAAGTGTTTATTTTCTAAGCCAAAACGTATAAGTAGTAGAACATTCTCGTTCAACTCCTGATCTTCTCAATTTTCCAAATGGATTTTCTTTTTTTGGACTCTTACAATTAGTTTCATAGTTATGGAGTCTTTTTGTGGATTAACAAATTTCTATGATAGTACCGATAAATTTGCAGGTTAGTTTAGTTTAGGTTAGGTTAGGTCAAATTTAAGTCGAAACTTAACTCATAAATTTTCTACCATGCATTAAGCCTATGTAATCGTGCGATCATCCTCTTGAGATATTAATTTACTCAATAATAAATAAGTTTGTTTATCCCCCCAAAAGGTGCGAGTAATCGCAGTAAACAGCGTGGGTATGTCGCCGCCGTCCGAGCCCTTGTCTCTCCGCACGGGGGGCGAGGCCCCGAGTGGCGCCCCCCGTAACCTGAGGGCGACGCCCTTCACGTCCCGCTCCGTCAGGGTTGCCTGGACCCCACCACCGAGGGACACGTGGCATGGAGCCCTTCTGGGTTACTACGTCGGATTCAAAAAGTACGTTAATTTTTCTTTGTGGTAAAGGTCTTGGCTTTTATAGTATTTAATTGATCAAATATTTGGATTGTACTACATACAAATGTATTGTGAATTTAGAACTATAAAGAAGGAAATTAATTGCGAGAATGTTCTAGAGAGTGTTCGAATCAATATTTCTGGTTGTGGATAGGAAAGGAAGAGTATGAAAAATGTCGTTAGGGAATGTCACTTGTCTCGCGAAACATGTCTTAATTAATAAACAGTAGAGTGACTAGAGTGACTGTTGCTGGATCATCAAGTTTCATGGAAAGTTAAACCGGATTAGGTTCAGACACATGGAGAAAAATTTCAATATGATTAGTGTACAATGAAGCATTTAATGCATTCGTAGGTTTTATGATCACTGAATCTGTGGCTGCTGCTATACTTACGGCATCTTTTTTGCTAACAATTTTCCTTTGCAATTTTTTCTGCGTTTGCAGCTACGTATTTATTTGTACAAGATATTCACCTTTCGATGACGTAATTCATGCATAAGAAAATAAACACTTTTCCATGAACAAATGTTCAAAAGATCATGAGTGCAAGCATGTTTGTCAATACCAAAATGTCCTACAAAGACTACACTTCATATCATAGCAAAATGTTTTCCCTTCTTCTAGAGCTGGTAGTACCGACAACTATGTCTTCAGAACAGCTTCTCTGCCGCTAGCCACAAGCACCTCAAACAAAATCTCGTCCGACAAGTCAAGCGGTCATTCTTCTTACCTGAACGACCTTACAGACAAACAAGACCGATCCAAAAATGCTTTCCTTAGCAACGGATTGGATTTGATAGCAAAGGAAGTGAGCCGAGGATCTTACAGTGTCAGGAATGTGGACGATCTTGGTAGGAAATCACACGGCGTGTCAGACGACGACGTGCTACAGGAGTGGGTGGTAGACGAGCTTGGAAAATACTCTGAGTACGAGTTCATTGTTCAGGCTTACAATGCTATTGGACCGGGGCCTTTGTCCGATCCTATCACCGCCATCACTCTTGAAGATGGTGAGTACAAGAACATTAAAATGTGATCGAGCAAGAAATTTTCTGTATAAGATTCTATTTGACTTTTATGAACAAACTTACAAATTCATCTGGAACATATGTTAAGTTATCAAAAATTATTATTTTCCAGTAACGACTGGTTATTGATGACAATAAATCTTCAAACGCATTGCCATGTTTGATATATCGGATCGTAGCAAGTCATTTAAAGGTAATATTCAAACTTCCTTCCCAATATGCATATATATATATATATATATGAAACATATATAAGAAACATATAAACCTAGAAATGACGTCTAATTTAAATTAATTTATTTTTTGTAATTTCTTTAAGTAATCGAGATAATTTTGTGCTTTTTTTATGCGAGAAATCAAGTCTTAACCCTTGCTCCTTGTAACCCTCTATTGCAGTACCTGAGGCTCCCCCTCAGAAGGTGTCGTGCTCTGCCCTCTCCCCCACCAGCCTGCAGGTCTCGTGGAGCCCTCCACCTGCTCCCCTCACTCACGGCCAAATCAGCAGCTATACCCTCACTTTCGCTCCCCTCGACGATCACACCGGTAAGCTTATGCATCCGGACTTTTACATGATGACCTATACTTTAAAAAAAATTAATAGATCGTAAGTTCATCCGCCAATCATTGACGGCCTTTCGAGCAAAATCCACCAATCATAGATAAGAAAATAGAGCGTAAGTACTTTCGTTAAATTAGCGAGTTTTGAAAGTATGGCCCTCGATGTTAGTTTAATCCCAACATTGCGTAAGGAATTTTGAGAGCAGTTTGATTCAAAATTAATTTACAAGAAAAGATATAATTTTGTGGATTTTTTTTCACCAGACACTTTCTTAAAAATCTTCCAAACTGATGAGATAACGAAATAGCTCCTGCCTCGTTTTCTCATTTAGGAGACAGGAAGACTCATGAAACCTTTATATGGAATGTATATCTCTTCAAATCAGTGAAACGAATGTTAAGCTGCCACGAGAACGCATAAAATGCAAATTTTATATTGCTGCATCCAAAGAATTTAAATTGATAAGAATTATTTCGATTATGAACAAATTTTATCATCACTGAGCAAATAACTTCGCATCCTATTATGTAAGTCTACGGAATTGACATCCAATATTTCAGTATAGTATAGCTTTTCATACTACACCGGATAATTGTAAAATGGCGTCGATGTCGCGGAAAAGTACTTCAATGGATCGAGTTGTAATAAAATACTTTGCTATTGCTGAAAATAATAATAAAAATACTTGTCCAATGAGCTCTTGCTTGTAAACCTTGATTTTAAGAATTATTTTAAAGCCCTAAAATCTTCAATTTCCAATTCCTTTCTTCAAGTGTTAAAGTTATACAAGTTAGTTTTTAAGCGAAAGAGTCCGACTATTATTACTTTTTCTGAAAGCTTTCAAATTTCATAGAAATTAGTATATCTTAATTTCAGGCACTAATTCATTAAGAATGAGTGAATAGAGCATTTACCTTTAAAACAATAACTCTGCTGATAGCATCTAAAGAACTGTAATGCTTGTCATAACGCTTTACATTTATTGTTTGTACCATACACTATTTCGTTGTCGTAAACTATTAATAAGTGATGCATTTCCAATCGCATTGAGATTCCCATAATATTTTCATCATGAACTAAAGCAACTATAGTGCCGCAAAACAAAGTCATTGCAGACACAAACGTGCAGTTTTACTGCAGGTTTATCCTTCACAATGAAATATATTTTATGCGCTACGGCTGCATGCGATGGAGTCGCTAAGTCAATCATCGAACATACTCATTCATCGTAGTTTCTAATTTACGGTGCCTCATTTGTGAAAACCTCATCCATCATAATTTGTAATATGGTCATTCTAATTGAAGGGATGACCTTAAAAACCTCATTCACCAAACTTGAAACTCCAGCTATTCTAATTCATCCTTAATTCTAATTTACGCCACTGGTCCATAAAAGCCACATCCTCTAAATTTAATACTCCAGACATTTCATTTCATCTTAAATTCTAATTTGCGCGGCCTCGTCCATTAAAGTCACATACTCCATGATTAATAATCCAGACATTCTAATTCATCGTGAATTCTAATTTTGGGGGACTCGTCCATAAAAGCCTTATCATCCAAACTTAATAATACGAACATTCTAATTTATAAGAAATCCAAATTTACTGGGCCTCATCCATAGAAGTGTCATTCACCAAATTTAACAACACGGACATTCGAATTCATCGTAAATTATAATATGGAGTGCCTCATCCATTAAAAACTCATCCACCATATTTCATATTACGTAACTGAACGTTACGATGTGCAGAAGGAAGACACTTTACTGCACCATCCTTCTGCCCGCTACACACCCGTTTCGTTACTATTATTATTACATTAATATTATTATTATTAATATTATTATATTAGTATTATTATTATTCTTGTTACTATTATTATTATTATTATTATTATACTATTATTATTACTAGGACTGCCGGCCAGTGAGTCAATGAGCGTGCAGAGCACCAGCGCCACGCTCACAGAGCTGCACCGCTACACTAACTACTCGGTGCGCGTCGCCGCCGCTACTCGGGCAGGTCTGGGCGCTGCCTCCAGCGACATCTTGTGCGTCACTGACATGGATGGTGAGGCTTAATTTCGAATTCGTGTAACTCTTAATAGATATATCCTGCTATCAAGTTAAATGCAAATTTTCATCGATGGCGATTAAATTGGATTTTAGCGCTATTCTCATTCAACGTTAAATTTAAACTGATGAATAACGTTCATAAGGCATTAAAGGGCATTAAATTCCATTCATACGAGCGGTTATGTCTCGATGGGTCATTTATGGGTCTTCATAATTTATATTATGTTTGGCGATTATCTTTACAAAGTATTCCTTCTGTACAAAGAAAAATATAAAAGCTATTAAAATATCTTGACCTATGTACTGATGATCCTAATGTTCATTTTACGTTATCAGTCCCCCAAGCTCCGGCTAAGGTGAAGGCTGTAGTGTCGGGCCCCACGTCAGTGAGGGTTGCCTGGTCTCACCCACCTCGCACACACGGTCCCCTCACCCACTACACCGTCCACTACCGGACCGGCACTAACTCTGAGAGCAAAACACTTCAGTTCAACGTGAGTCTTGCAGATAATATATTCCTCTATGATTAATCTAGGTTGATTTTTTAACTAAATTCTTGTGAGTACAGAGATCTAAAATTATAGAGAGTTAAGTGTATCAAATCTTGGCACAAACAATTTAAATTCTGTCGGAGCTGTCAGTAAGAAAAGCCACAGAGGATAAAATTCTAATTGACCCAGCTTTAATGTGACATGATGATATGACATTTAATATTACAATCAGAATTTTCACGGCAATTTTTTTCGTTTCGAATAACTGCATCAATAATAAAAAAAAATTTAAAAGATCTGGATTTCTCGAACCTTGAGCTCGCTAGAAGGTCGCAACAATGGCCAGTTTGTTCGTAATCTAGTGCATTTCCTTTTTCCTTGAACTTACTTTTATTATTTAAAGCTATTCTTACCGCTACAATATACACTTTCTCTTTCGTTTATCTTCTGTGTGGTCATTGTATGTCACAACGACTGCACTAAAACTTTTCTTGAGGTTCGTGATCGCTTTAATGCTGCCGTGATGGCCCATAAACTATTGTATACACCTCGCTATGTCGTAAAACATTTCCATCTGTAGCCACTAACTTCTCTGGAGCAAAGGTTCAAAGCTGATTGCCGTTTACTGCAGTCGTAAAAATGCCCGAGCTGAAGCTGTATTGATTTCTGCAGACGAACGACTGTAGTTTAGCGCGGCCTTACTCATTGTTTCAGAGATTTTCTCGTGCGTCAAATTACACTCAGGGTACAAGGTCATAGTGCTAAATCATATTTGAATTATCTATGAAACAATATTTGAGAGTAGGCAGTACGTTCTGGTCGAATGTCGAGGAAGAAAAATCTTGTAAAGATTTGGATTGGAATTGAAGTGTATCTGATTTAACATCAGATTATTTAGCATTTTAGGTGATAAAACATACAGTAAATATTCCTTGTTTCCTTGATAAAGCTTTGGGTTTAAGAATTTCTAAATGAATTTCAGCATAGAATCGCATTACAACTTTGTACGAATTATTTTTTTATACTGCATTTCAAATGGGGTATGTTTTTTCTGCTTACATTGGATCTTTGTAGGACTTAACAAATCTAATAAATTATGTTCTTTCGAGGAGGTAAATAATTATTTTTGTAATTCATTTTAGCGCAATATCTCTATTAAAATCAGTTAGAATTTTTTCAAGATTTATTGTTTAGTTGTTTTCTACTTATAAGTTCAGTTATAATATTGCACATTATTCCCCACAACTTTAGGTCACTATTTACTTAACCAAAACCTCACAACTAGTATAATATTGCGAAAATTTTCTTTGGAAATCTAATTATTACGCAAAAAGGAAAGAATTCTAGTATTTTACTGGGCTAATTCTCTCATGCATAGTTACATTATTCCTGTGTTCAGTCCTTGAACGCTGAAATAACGGGCCTGCGCGAGGGGAGACAGATTGAGGTTTGGGTGACAGCGGCCACCCGCGCGGGAGACGGTCCTGCCTCCGCCAAAATTAAAATCACCCCCAGCGACACAGGTAATTACTTTTGGAAAAGGAATGTGTGCACCCAGTGACTCAGGTAATGGAAAAGGAATGTGTGCACCCAGCGACACAGGTAATTCAACCTCTGTGTGCAAGAGGGAACATGTGAAGGCTGGCGCTGCACACGATCAAGTCGTTCGCTATCAACTTTTTGAGCGCGAACGTTTTTTGTTGATGGAAGTTTGCCAAAACACTTACACCAAATTATCAAGCGAAAAATAAAAAAAATATAATAATTTAACTGGGAAATAAGGGTAAAAATACTTTTAACGGTTAACTATTTAAGAAGTATTTTAAATACTAAATACTATAATTATGGCATCGTTACCACGTGAGTGTCTAATGACTCCATATTAATTAGTATAAAGATCTTATTATTATTATTATATTTTTCCTATTTATCATCATCAAGTGGGCTGTCATACGTTTGAAACAAATACACAATTTCAATAATACGAGTATTTGACAAGTTATTTTGCATTAAAATTATTATTTAGTTGTGTTTTATTTATTTTGAGGAATGGAAATAGTCGATAAACCGAATCCAAGAATTAACCGACTCTCTTCATTATCAACAATTCACGCAAAAATTTATATACTAAAACAGTTGAAGCCTTGCCAATGGTTTGTTGAAAAACAATTGGGCAAAATATAATTATCTATGAAACATTCGTATCTTACCAGCCCGTTTTGGATCAGCCCTACACTCTTTTGCACAGGCTGGTCTTAAGTCATGAAGATGGTTGGAGACTGTAATAAATTTTTATTTTGCGGAACATTTGTTGCTTGTTAATTTATTTCAACATTGTAGCTTGTAATAGTAATATATAGTTGTTCAATGCATAAAAATAAAAATCTTATTGATAATTCGGCCTTCTTACATTCACCAAAGTGTAAATAGATTAATTAGACACCATGTGACGTCGTTGAACCAGTGGGCGCCGGCATCTACGCAGTGGGGGGGCCGGTTAAGGTGGGACGCGGCACCGACATACTCCTGCCCTGCCCCCACGTCGGGGCTCCTAAACCCATCATCAGCTGGGAGACGTGAGTCTTGAGCGTGAACTTATCAAAGCATTATGATTTTGTTATTATTTCGGGTTCTAATTTTGGTTTTCCTAGTATGTTTTTCTTCCTAAATTATATAATTTTGTTATTATGTATTATAAAGTGGTCCCTAACCAATTATCAGCTGAGGAAAGTGAGTGCTGAGCGTTAACTTATCAAAGCATTATGATTTTGTTATTATTTCCTTTTTTCTAATAAGTTTTTCTTCCCAAATTGTATAAGTTTGTTATTATGTATTATACGGTGTACCCTAAACAAATATTAAAAGCTGGGAGACGTGAGTGTTGAGCGTGAATTTATCAAAGCATTATGATTTTGTTATTATTTCTGTTTGCCTAATATGTTTTTCTTCCCAAGTTGTATAAGTTTGTTATTATGTGTTTTAAGGTGGCTCCTAAATCCATCATCAGCTGGGAGACGTGAGCGTGAACTCATCAAAGCATTATGATTTTGTTATAATTTTTGTTTTCCTAATATGTTTTTCTTCCTAAATTATGTAAGTTTATTATTATGTATTATACGGTAGATCCTAAACCAATTATTAAAAGCTGGGAGACGTGAGTGTTGAGCGTGAATTTCTGTTTGCCTAATATGTTTTTTTTTTCAAATTATTTAATTTTGTAATTATGTATTATAAGGTATAAGCGCAAATTCGTCAAATTGATATCATTTGTTATTATGTATGAATTATATGTGTATTATGTATAAATTATAAATGTATTATGTATGAATATTAGCATCTGTAAATAGCGATTAAAGTTTAATTTGACGTCTTTATATATTTATATTTGTTTTGACTTTGTAAGACTTTCTTTGAACCTTGAGCGTTAAAACTACTACGTTTTTTTTTTGCGCTCATGAATGCATCGAAATTTAACAGTAGTGTACAAGGATAACATATATTTGTATACTTAACTTTTAAATGACTACTTCTGTCTACTACTACTACTACTTTTAAATGACTACTTAACTCCTTACTACTACTTTTGAATGACTACTTAACTTTTAAATGACTACTTCTGCTTTCAACGATAATTTTCTACCAATTTTTCGCCGCTTTAATAGTCAGACACACTGAAAGAAGAATAACCAGAAATGTAACGTAAAGTTACAACCTCACATCAAATGTTGGCAATACCAATTAAAATCGCCAATTTAAGAATTTAAACACTGCTTGCTAAAAACTTGTTTCCTCATTTCCGCGGGCAGGCAAACGGAGGGCGGTCACAACCGGTCCGAGCAGCAGCCGGACCACAGTCTGCTCATCCGCGACTGCCAGCGAGCGGACTCCGGAAATTACACCTGCCATGCGTCCAACTCACACGGCTCTGATCACGTGACGTACAAGCTGCTCGTCTTGGGTAGGTTTATAATGTATTTCACGTTTAGTGAGATATTTGGCGATGAGCAACACAGTCGTCTGATGTTACAAACCTCGTACTTGATGACATTTTAAGACTTGTTGCCCCTTTTTAGCGTATTTTCTCATTTATGGAAAAAGGTGCTATTGTGTTCGTCATGTGTATCTGTCTGTCCGTCCGTCTGTCTGTCCGTCTGTCTGTCCGTGACTTCACGTTTTCGTCGACGAGAAAATGCGCTCTCTGTCTCTCACTGCAGTGAGTACCTGTTATTTACTTCTATAGATAACAAACTCTCATAAATTCTCAATAAAAATGTCACTCTTTTCAACCAAATGTTTGGATACTTGAACAGCGCTTGAGGGGTATGCAACTTTCAGTTACACGTCTCCGAAAGAAGAGCAAAGTTTATATGGAGAAGACAGCGCTAGACCTAAAGATAGTTAAATTATTGACTGGATTTACAATTTTTCGAGTTTGCTGAATTGTCGAGTTTACATATATGCAGTGAATTTTATTTAAAATTTTTCATCATCGCGTCTATTATTATCTTGAAAGGATATTAATTTGATACTTAATCACCACAAACTTCAACTTCTAATAATTAGGTAAACGAACAGTAAAAATAGCAAGATTTTAAAATAATGTAAAACATCGGATAGAAAAAATGGTTGGTTCAGTTAGAGGGATTTGAACACGAAAGTTTTCTTGAACTTCTTTAAGTCTTGAAAAGCTGTTTCTGTGAGACAAACAACAACAATAGTAAAGTAATTGCGTTTAAAAATAGCATTGCACGTGAGTAGACGAGTTATGTACTTTATTTGGACACGAACATATAAGATCTGAAAACTGTTGTAAATATTAAGAACATGATTCCTACATATTTAAAAGATGCACCGAATATTACCTTCAACCAGGTAAGTTGAGTGCCAGCATCGAACTATAAAGAAATACTAGGATTTAAGTCGACTACAACTGAGTTGTGTACGACATACACGCAACATATGAACGATTTAGCCAAAAAATGTACGCTTACGGACTTTAAATTCAACTTTAGGTATAGGCTGATTTGGACACTTTTTGTACCGTGATGTTAGAATAACCAGTAAAATTATTTTTTAAAAATCCTCCACAATTTACAGCAAAAATCTCGAGTACTGGCTGACATGGCAGTGATACAGTAAATCTAATTATATGAGTCTACAGTATTATCGATAATTTTGATTGTGAACATATTGTTCACAAACAAATTTTGTTTGTGAACAATATGCTCACAACAAATGTTCACAACAAAACTCCTCACAAACAAATTTTGTTCGTGAACAACAACAAATTTCCATTAACAAATTTTTCCTCTTTTTCACTTCCATGCATTAGAGCTCCAATAATTTTGCGATTTTTTCGTCGCAGTTCCGCCATCGGCGTTACACCTCCGCGCGTTGTCTTCGACCAGCCACTCGGTGAGCCTGCAGTTCGGGACGTCTTCTGAAGATTCGTCTCAGGGCGGCATGACGACGAAGCCGTACGACGATGGGGGTGCCCCTCTGAGAAGGCTTCTGCTGACGTGGCGTCGTCAGGGTGGCGAGTGGCGAGAAGAGGAACTGGACCGACACCTGACGCAGTATAAGCTCGAGGGGCTTGACTGTGGCACAGCTCATCATCTTTATGTGACACCTTACAATGCTATCGGTGCGGGAACATAATGCTCTTTGTGAACGCCTGATTGAAACTTACCTGCGGATAATTCTGACTGTTTATAATGCAATTTTACTCTAAACTCAAAATATTATAAAAAATAACTAATAGTTTCCTTCCTGATCTCGATGTAACTAGGGGCAGGCGCAGCAAGTGAGGTGGCCACGTTACGCACAAAAGGGTCGCGGCCTCCGGTGCCGCCCCAGCACCGCCTCATTGGTTTCGTAAACACGACATCCGTTCAGCTTCATCTCCCTCTGTTTTCTGACCCCGACTGTCCTACAGATACAATTGCCGTCAAAATCAGGAGACTCCAGCCCACGCAGGGGTCATGGCGCAATGGTAAGTACCATAGATGAACACAATAGGAGGTGGTTGCCCTCAGCAGCAGTCTATAGTACACAGGTGACCAACCCGCAATACGATTGGGAATTTCCCTCAACTGCCCGTAGCCACAGTGAATTCTCGCACCGATTGATGACCTTACAGCAGGGATCTCTAAGAAAGAATAAATTCGGTTATCAAATGCCATAGAAGAAATGTACGGAATAATTTGTGCAATAAGAGGGTCCCATACTGTTCTATCTCTATCATGTTCGATTACTTCTAGTAAGGACGTTTGAATAATATTTATTGCATTATTTATGTACGGAGAATATCAATTCTACGCCATCTTTTATTGAATGAATGGAAATCAATTTTGGCCCATTATTTGACACATTTCAGGGGAAAACTTCATCATTTACTTCCAGGCGGAATAATTTGAATTACCTAAAATTTTACTGTTCAATTGCAGTGGAAGTCGGCTTCGTGTAATAATTCTTCGGGGAAATAGTGAAATTTTGTGCCAGATATAAGTTCATTCTCCTCTGCCAGGAATTTTTCTCTTACGTAGCAACACTTTTCAGTCTTACATCCAATGTAATGTATTTCAGTAAAATTTTGTTGGAAACATTAATTAAATTTGAGTATACTCATGTGCGAGCATCTCCCGCTTCGCATGAGTAATAAGTTTGTCTTATTTTACTCACTGAGCTGCGAAGAAAGAAGCGAGATGAAAAATTGCGCCACCCGTCACTCTCATTTGGCTCAGCCGCCGTACATTTCAGTTGTTTGCGGCGCTAAATTAAATCCATTAAAATATTCATAAGTTTCGGCGGCGCCCTGATTGCATCGAGCGCAATCCGTCAGCAGGTCTTTGCATAAGCTGTCCCGACATTGTGATATTCCTAAAAAAATTGATTTGCTTATTTATTTTTTAGCTGAAATATTCATTCATGTTGTACAAGCCGGGATAACTAGGGATAATATTTCATACATCAAAACTCAAATAGATCTTTACGATATGAATTATTAAACGATTTTTGTATGCATAATTAATCAGTTTTATTTGCATGTAGCTTCGCACCGCTTCATTAAAATTTCTAAATTACCTGCCCTCTATACATTTTGTTAAAAATTTTTTTCTTAATGTTGTTCTTTTGAGTGAATTTCATGTACGAGAAGTATAGAAAAAAGACAAACGGTAACAATTTATTTTTTTAATCGAAGCATGGCTATATCACAATGTTAACTTGAGAAATGTTAAACGTCGTCAAGATTTGGAAATTAGTTCTTCTACAACTAATTGACAGCACAGTAATCAGTTTGTCAGCCTATACAAGTGACGCATCAGTTGCTCCACTACAGACTTTCATTGATACGGACGCATACAAACAAAAAATAGAATAATGCCATCTTCATCCCTGCATTGTTCAGCCAGGTTACTGTATAGGTCGGTCCCATCTGTGTGCTTATTACAGACTTGTGGTGTACTTTTTTTTAACGGCGGGTGAGAGTGACACTGATTAAATCAATGTGATTAAAACTTATATCGGGAATAATACTGAGACTACTAAAACAAACAAATTAACAATTTGATTACTAGAAAAGAATTTGGTTGAACATGAATATCGCATTGATGCATCGGAAATTTTGAAATCTAGAAATCTAACTATAAAAGTGCTTCTTCAATATTTAGATACAAATTACACATATGCGCGCATGACAAATAGTTCATTAACTTAACACCTAACATCCATTCTTTTCATTTATTGCTTTAAAATACCTAACACATCGACGGCAAACACAACATCACTCTAACTATGCTGATTCAGCAAAGATCATACCAAACTCGCTCTAACATAAAATAATATCAGTTCTATCCCTGAAATCATCCTTCACCCTCAGCGCCACTGGTACATTATTTCATCCATTTCTCTCGTCTTGTTCTCCTAATTGCTGTCATAGTTCACTCCTCGGGCTCCCCAACAGTTGGGGTTACAGCCCCCGGCTCGCATGAGAGTGTGGGAGCACCCACCACGGCCGTGACAGTGGGGGAGCTCGCCCCCGGCAGCCGCTACGAGATGATAGTGACCGCCCGCAACTCTGCCGGGGTGACTGAGGCAGAGTATGCCTTCACGACCCATAGTCACGGTGAGTACTTTAATATTTAATGACTATTTATTTGACTATTTGATATTTAATAACTATTTATTTGACTATTTAATATTTAATAACTATTTATTGAAATATTTAATAACTATTTCTTTAACGATTTAATATTTATAAATATTCGGGACATGATTGTAGGAAGTGAATAACATCAAATTTTATAATACGATTTGGATAATAATAAAAGAAAATTGATCAATATTATTGAATTTCAATGTATTGAAATTTTCATATTACACCGATTGAAACTTAACTTCCTGCATGACACGCAGTAGCTGCCTCCTGTGTGACACGCAGTAGCTGCCTCCTGTCTAACACTTTCGCTGTCACCTGTGTGAGCTATTGTCTCCGTACGATATATTGTGCGTACTTCACATGAGAAACTCGCCTCATGCGTGCTGATCCCAACGCTTTGTGTTGCGCACAAAAGAGGAGCGGGAGCTACAAGGGGGAGTCCTGCGAGTCGGAACCAAAGCCGTTCACTCCTCGGCTGACCTGTTCCGGGATCCGGCGTTTATAGCCCCCGTTGTCGTGTCCTGCCTCGCCATCGTCGCCATTGTTGCGGCACTCGTGCTTTGTTGGCGCAAAAGTGGGTGGTTGTGTAGGTTAATTGGATGAAATTAACATTTTACTGGAATTATTCACCAGGTTATAGGTTAATTTCAGCTCACATGCTTTCAGAATTCAGAGTAGAATTAACACTATAGTTGATTTGTCCGCTTAGTTGTTCAATTAATTTTAGAGCACGTGAATTCAAACTTCAAATTTTATTTTACTTGTCAGTGGATGTTAGGAATTATTTTTAAAATTAATTTAGTACATTTGACTTCTGAATTGCGAGGGTAATTCATTTAAACTTATAATTATAATTTCACCTTCACGAGCCTACAACACTCAGCTACGCATTAGTTTTAGTAGTGCATGGGCTTTCAGCAACAGAAAGTAACCCTGTACCAGACGTGACCCACACAGAAAATTAACTTTTTCCGTATGCTTTTTGATTCCAACATCAATTAAGCAATAAAAATTGCAATAATAATTAAATTAAAATAATATTTTGGACGCTGCTCAAAGGATTCAGCATTCCTGTTACAGCTTAAGTTATCGTGAAGTTTATTGCCTGATAATTTGCTGGTATATAATACCTAAAATGGACCTACAAATCGCAGAGTTTTGAGCATTTTCGTATTTTTCTCTCCATCAATTGATAGAAAATTTGAATATGAAAATATGTAAAGAAAACTCATAGTAAATTGAATATGAGTAAAAACTCAAATATTTTAATTAGTCTGAAGTTCTAATTAGCCCGAATTCGGGTTTCGTTAAGTGTTTCAAGCAGGTAACGAAGTGCATTTTCCTCTGGTGTTTGTTCTATTCCAGGCGGAATTGTTTAAATAAATTAAGGCATAATTGTAGACACTCTGGTGCCCAATGGCAAATAAAAATCACGAATTAAAACCCTTATATTATTATATTTCATTCGTAAGATTTACGATTATCTGCTTCTTGCCGCCTGAAAGAACCAAGCGAAGACTCGAACGCCAGCCAGTGCATTGAAAACAAACCTTGCGAACTGAGCGTGAAGAAGGAGGAACAATTCTACAGCGCACTCCGTAAACCGCCCGTCTCGCCTGCCACCCGAACTGACAACACTGATTCCAGCATTCCCGGTGAGCACGATCAATTTTCATTTATAACTGAAATATTATTAATCAAACATACAATGAGCGGGATACACAATGAGCAAAAGTGTTAATGAGACGGACGTATAATGAATCAAACAGTTAATGAACCCGACATAAAATAAGGCAAAGAAATAATGAACTAACAGTTGACGAGCCGAAAACATAATGAGCCATGACTACATACATGCACTAATATAGTCCAATTTCTCGGCAACACATGAAATAAGGCAAAGAAATAATGAACTAACAGTTAACGAGCCGAACACATAGTGAGTCATGACTACATACATGCACTAATATAGTCCAATTTCTCGGCATCACATAAAATAAGGCAAAGAAATAATGAACCAACAGTTAACGAGCCGAACACATAGTGAGCCATGACTACATACATGCACTAATATAGTCCAATTTCTCGGCAACACATGAAATAAAGCAAAGAAATAATGAACTAACAGTTAACGAGCCGAACACATAGTGAGTCATGACTACATACATGCACTAATATAGTCCAATTTCTCGGCATCACATAAAATAAGGCAAAGAAATAATGAACTAACAGTTAACGAGCCGAACACATAATGAGCCATGACAGCATGCATTAACATTGTCCAATTTCTCGGCATCACATAAAATAAGGCAAAGATATAATGAACTAACAGTTAACGAACCGAACACATAGTGAGCCATGACTACATATATCAATATTGTCCGATTTCTCGGCATCACAGAGTACGCCGAAGATATCTACCCGTACGCGACGTTCCAAGAGGCACGTGGCACTGAAGACCAGGAGGCGTCGAGCTTCCAGACGTTCGTGTTCCGGGATCCTCGCGTGATGCCACCACACGCGGTGTCAGCAAGCCATCAGCAAGAGTACCGCAAGGTATAACAAATTTCTAAGGTTCCATAGTGTTATTCATATCAAATTGTGAAGCACATCAGGCTGTCGTTGATCATCAGGCTATTTGTTCTTATGGGATTCTATGCGGGTTGTCTCTTAGAGGTGAACCAGTAAAAATTGCAATTGCAAAGAATTTACCCGAAATGCAAAATGCTAAATTCAATAGATCTTCAAAAATTTCCAATTCACCATTATACAAACACCTTCGAAAATTTCCAGTGCATTCATTGCATGTGAAAACTTTTGCACAGGGCTCGGAACTCGCCCCTCAATACGGGGCGGTAGTACGCAGACCTCGCGCCCGCTCGTCCTCCGGAGGCTACAGCATCGAGGGCGACCTGCTGAGCGAAGACGACCTCAGCGTCAGCGACTCCGACACCGAATTGCCTGCCTCGTCACGTACCGAGAGCTCCTCGCATCTCGACGACGCCTCGGTCGGGGGCAGCCGACGCAACACGCATCACAGTGAGTGTACAGTCGGAACGTGTGGGGGCGGCCGACAAAACACGCATCACAGTGAGTGTACAGTCAGAACATACGGGGGCGGCCGACGCAACACGCATCACAGTGAGTGTATAGTCAGAACATACGGAAGCGGCCGACGCAACACGCATCACAGTGAGTGTGCAGTCGGAAAGTATTCACTGCTGTGAGTTGGGAACTTTAATCAAAGTTTTGATGAGTATGCTTAGGGGAACCGCAAAGGCCTTTGTCGGAGGGAGGGACAATAAACATCCATATATTTTTGGCATTTAATTAATGAATATAATAGAAAATATGCATAATATAAATTTTAAATTTTGACTGAAATAATAATGCACTTAAATTATAGTAACAATAAGTACAGTCATACATGGGATGGCTTTTGCTCCGTTGGGCAAAAGCCATCACCAATCATTGTTTTTCAGACTTAAGTGCTGTACAGAAATGACGCCTCGGAAGCGTGAGCGTTTGAATTTTGCGAAAGGCGACTATGATAAACTCCGTGAAGCAGTGAATGCAGTGAATATTTCGAACTGTATTAAGGACATGAATATTGTCCGTGAAGCAGTGAATGCAGTGAATATTTCGAACTGTATTAAGGACATGAATGTGGCTAAGTCATGGTCACTTCTCAAGGACACGTAGGCCTATTGCTAAAAAAGTAAAAAAAAGAAACCGAAAGCCTTCTTTTTGTACGCTAACTCGAAGTGCAAGATGAAGGACGGTATTTCTGATTTGAAAGTAGATCAGCGAAGGATATCCTCTGATGAGGGCAAAGCCAACGTACTTAATCATTTTTTCAGTAGCGTATTCACTGAAGAGGACTTGAAGCGTATTCCAGCTATTGAGGAGCGCCCAGTCGGCTCTAAATTAACAAGCTTTGAAATACAAGAAGAAGAGGTTCTCAAGCGCCTTATCGCTGTAAATCCAAACAAGTCATGTGGACCAGACGGCTTCCACCCCAGATTACTCAAAGAGTTAGCAACTGTCCTATCCGGCCCTCTGACGTCACTTTTTCGAAAAACTTTGATCGAAGGAATGTTGCCGGCTGACTGGAAAGAAGCTCAAGTGACACCATTGTTCAAAAAGGGTGACAAAAGCTGCCCAGGCAACTATCGCCCTGTCAGTTTGACAAGTGTCGTTTGCAAGGTAATGGAATCTGTTGTGAGGGATCGATTGATAGATCATTTGACTGCTAATAATCTCCTATCAGACTGTCAACATGGCTTTATTGCCGGGAGATCCTGCACCACTAACCTCTTGTCGACTCTGAACGAATGGACCCGCCAGCTGGACGAAAGGGAGCCAGTAGATGCAGTGTACCTCGATTTTGCCAAGGCATTTGACAGTGTCCCACATGAGCGGCTGTTGCGTAAATTGAAGTCTTTGGGAATTGAGGGTAATGTACTCAAATGGATCAGAGATTTTCTAGCAGGGAGGCGACAACGTGTCAGTATTAATGGGTCCGTATCAGACTGGGCTTCAGTGCGCAGCGGCGTGCCACAAGGAAGCGTTCTCGGGCCTATTCTATTCGTTGCGTTTATAAACGATCTGCCAGAAGCTGTGTCTAGCGTTTGCTCGATGTATGCTGACGACGCAAAAATTTATAATACAGTGAAGAATACGTCGCAAAAAATACAGTTGCAAGGGGATCTTGACAGGCTGGTTGACTGGGCTGATAAGTGGCAGCTGCGTTTTAACGCTGACAAATGTAAAGTTATCCACCTTGGCAGGAATAATGAACAGCAAGATTACAGTATGAGAAGACACGGTTGCAACGACAGAGTGATGATGTCGAAGTCGACAACGGAAAAGGATTTAGGAGTTAATATCGACAATGAGTTGAAATTTTCTAAGCATATTGAAGGTCAAGTTAATAAAGGTCAAGTTAATAAATAAAACTTGGACTGATCAGACGCTCTTTCGAGTTCCTAGATGCAGAAACAATGAAGCAGTTATTTGTTGCTGTCGTGCGCCCGAACCTAGAGTTTGGAAATGTCGTGTGGTCACCGAAATTTGAAAAGGACAAAAATTTAGTAGAGAGTGTTCAAATATGTGGAACAGCCTCCCTGATAGCATCGTTGACGCTCCGAGTATGAACATCTTCAAAAACAGACTAGACGAAGCTATGCAGGAGCATATGTTCAGTCTTAAAATGCCTTGCAAATTACGGACCAGGCAATAAGGTCAGCAGCTATCTCAATCAATCGTCAGCTATGGAAAGATCGGGTTCCAAAGGCTGGATCCCTTGTGAATCAAGTCACGAAAAGTTCAAGAATCGGCAACAGGCCATGGGCCTATTTCTTCAACGCCGACACTTCTATTCTATTCTATTCTATGGAAAAGTGTCGAGGCACAAAGTTTCCCCAGGTTCGATAATCAGGAATTAAGGTGACAGAGTTAATCTTAATTGCCTTAATCAGGAATTAAGGCAATCGTGTCAGAGTTGTCGGTTACATGGAAGTGCACATGTAAGGCATATGGACTGTTAACGCTCATGCGAGCCATCATAAAACCTAAGCAGAATGATTAGCTAAGCGTTAATGTTGCCGTTGTGACATCGTAGCCACAGTGAAAAGAGTATGTAGATCAAACCTTATCGCAAATGCTGGCAACTTCTAGTTAACCAGCATTCATTAACAATTAAGAAATAAAATATTAAATATACGGTACAACTAGTTAAGAAAATCAGTAACGTAGCGAAGAATGAATATTTGCAATTAAAAATAGCTACAAATCCTAATGCTCATTGCAAGTAGATAGCTATCAATAAGATATTTTGATCTCCCGGCGCAAGCAAGAAATTTTGTTCGACTCATTGAAAAAATTGAATAAGAAGATTATTAATTAAAAGCATGCTTTGGTCTTTAGTCAAACTTGCAGAAAAGAAAAGCTTCTGCCGAATTACACTAATAAGATATTGTGAACCTTTATAATTTAGAGAAGCACTCTTATGCTAAGCGAAGAATTTTTATTTCTTTCTCTCGCATTATAAATACTTGACCGGAATGTAAGGAATTGAACCCTAATTATTTTTTCTCATTATTCTGCACTGATAACTTTAAGGTTTCTATGATACCTGCATAAATCTCAAATTAATTAATTGGTCTTTACTTATTTCCGTGCACTATTTTGGCAGTGAGGATTATAAGGCTTATTTATCTTCATTATATATAATAATGAAGATAATACATTAATTATTAATACCAGTATATATAATATATTAAATACTGTCTCTTGCATAAACAGTGCATTTGTTGTAGGTAACCACGAAAGTCATAGTATTCGTTATCAATAGTTATTAAGAGCCTCGATACGTACGTGGACTAGTTTATGTTAGTTGCCTCTGCACGGAATGAATTGTTTCAAACGATATTGCAAATTAGCATAATTCGATTACGTCAGCTCTTTGTTCGCACGCCAGAATTAATTTGGAGGATATAAGGGATGGTAACGCAATGGCAGCGAACATCTCGAGCTCTCTGTCCGGTCTTGCTTCAATAACTTTGAAGGCATAAATTACTTTTCATTTAAACAAAATCAGAATTTCTTTAATAAATTCCTAAGAAATAATATTTCATTTTCGAAATAATGTAATTAATCATGTAGTTCATTCTTTCTCGTGGTTGGAAAATACAAGTTTGATTTTATGTGGAATTCTACTCACATTGCACGAATGCTAACTGTGTTACGAAGTTAAAATTTAATTTTCTACGTAACCAGCAACAGAAAAAATTATAATAACTACATGAATATATACGCTATGATCTTAAACACAAAAACTTGAAAATAAATGCAAATGTATTGCGAACATGAAAAATAATTTAGAGAATCAGCAGCCTTTAAATGTTTTCAGTGCAATGTATAGGTAACTTTTATGTATAATATAAAAAATATAACTCAGTACTCACTGCAGTGAATGACAGAAACACATTTTCACGTCGACGAAAATGTGAAGTCACGGACAGACAGACGGACGGACGGACGGACGGACAAGACGAGCACAATAGCGCCTTTTTCCATAAGTGAGAAAATGCGCTAGTAAAAAAGTTTGTTGATCAATTATTCCAGACTAATTACGGGTAATGTCAATATTACGTTTTTTTTAATTACTACCAATAAATTTAAAAATGAAAATTTAATTTAATTTAATTTTTTCTTTGCCAGACCTGCTGTACGTTGCGTCCGATGCTTCCACGATCACCTCTCCGGGGCATGAGCGGCGGAGCCTTCCAAGACGAACGCAGTCAAGGTGAAAAAACGAATTAGAAGATTATTAATAAAAAGCATGCTCTAGTCTTTAATCAAACTTGCCTAAAAGAAAATATTCTGCTGAAATACACCAATAAGATTCTGCCGAATTGCACCTTTAGAGCCAGTAAAATCAGTTGCTTATGGAAAATAAATATAATTTATGCATTCTCAGTGCATTTCACTTTACGAACATTCTTTTGTTTAGAGGGCATTTATTTAAAATGATGGTGAAAGTGAGAAGCCAGACTATGATGATATATACATACAAGTCTAGCTACGTTCAGATACATATATTATTCGTACTGGTATGATGAGTTACAAATGAAACTTATTCTTTCAAATAGGCTCATTCAAGTCGTTTGTGACCAAGCAGCAAAAAATGTAGAAATATTTTGACCAGCGATTCCTCAAATCGAAAAATTATTTTACGAAAAATTACTTCTTAAACTTCCATTGAGTAATCGTTAATTAATAATTCTTCGCAATCAACCAATAAAAGAAGAAGAAAGTTCCACATTTTTTCACGCAAAGTTTCCATAATGTTTTTCCAGGATGAGTGGCAGCAGCGGTGGAGGCTACGGCGCCGCTACGGTCATGGTAAAAAATGCACGTAACGCGAAAGCGAATAGAGCGGCTAATGCAAACGCCGTCGCAATTTCCGGGCCTCCTCAAGCTGACAGGAAAATTTCTGGCGGGCTATCGTTCAAAGGCAAAGACAACAACAAAAACAGTCACGACAGGAGCAAGCAGACCCAAAATGACAATGTATGGAGGCTCAACGAGATGGAGAAGATCAGTTCACTTCAAAGTCCAGTTCAAATGCAAAATCTGAAACAGCAACAGAAGCAGGAACAGATTCTTCATCAGCAACAACCTCCAAATCATTTCATCCCCATTACTGATCAGAGAAGCTCGTATCAATTGCAGGAACAGCATAAGCATCATCAAATGCAGCAGCAATTAGTACATTACCCTTATCACCAGGGCCAGCAAGCTAACCTTGTAGACCAAAGCCCCGCACAACATTTCAGAACTAACAACATGTCTAACGCAGCTCAGAGTCCCAAGCGCTCCAAAAGCCAGGTCTTGAGCCATAAAAATCCGTCAGATAAAATCACTCCAAACTCGAACGGACTCATTGTGAGCAACAACGAAGAGCTTCTAGAAGTCAGTGCTGGAGGAGCGGAGCGTAAAGAAGACGAGAGGACAAGAGCCCGGCAACCGACACCAACACCTCATATGAAGGGCGCAGAAGGCGTGAGTGAGGCTGAATGTGCGAGAGATGCGGCTGTTGGTCGTAAAGTGCGACAGCGAGGCAGGAACTACTCTATAGCTGTCTAACTGACACCGTTATCAGCCTTCAACTTCCTCAACGGACTAGAATAGAAGCTCGTGAATGATGTACGGGCGAGATGACTTACAGAAAAAGTTATTCTCAACAAAAATATTCAAATAATGAGGTTGATTGCTGTTCCAAGTGAGACTTTAGAGCTTCCTTTTATCGTATGATATGTTTTGCGTAATTTTCATCTACTAATAATATTCATGTTCTCCCTTCTGATCCATCCTTCCCGCTTTTATATATACAAGTGATTTTTTTACTCTAATTTGGTTCAATTATACGTACTTAATTCTGCATCGATGTCCGTGCGATGATTTAGGTAAATACTTTGTCAATGCAAACTTTGGCTTAAACATTACAATGAATCACATTCTTCCCTTGTTCTCATTTACTTATTACTGCAAGTGAAACTCAGAAGATTGAATACCACCAGTATTTAAGGTATGGAATAAAAGTGGCAATTATACCCAGAATATAAATAGATGAGTTCGAAATTTCCGAGCTCACGTGAAAACGTAAAATCTTCTGAATATAAGGATACTTCTCTTTGGAATTGCATGGCTCCGATCTGAAGGCTAATGCTCTACAATAAAGGCTGAGCATTAGCAATGCTTTGCATCCCGAATTCTTTTGAGTGGCCAATGCGCTACCTGAAATAGTTATCACATTACTCGTAAATTCTATAATCAATATTGTAAAATTCTATAATTATTACCACTATAAACTCGCTTGTTGAAATTTTATTATATATGCGATATTCCAGTCAACGATGTGTCAGTTCATGAGAAGTTATGAACACTCATGTTCCATATTTCAAATATAACCATATGTAATTCATCCCTCGCAAACTGTTCTTGTCAATCAATCAAGGCTCATTTTCTCTCGTTCCGGATACTAAGAACTCTAACAATACTCTTCACAAAGTATCTAATAATCACATTAATTCTTAATGTGAGCACATGTTTTCCACGTTACTGAATCCCCCGGGACGTTCGTGTATAATACGAACCGGGATGTGGGCAACTTCTAACTCACATTTCTTCCAGAAAAATTAGCAGATATTCCTATATAAAACTTCAATCTTGCTCCGCTGAAGATTGGATCATTTTCTTATCGTGGCAAAGTGGTTACGAAAATGAAAATACTGGTTTCTATATTTTTACATCATCTTAATAGGAACATTAATAATTGAACCTCATAAGTTTTGACAGAAATTCTTGAGTACAATTTGGCTTTAAGGTAATACTTTTTAGTTGCGCAATTCTTCATTATTGAAGGGAAAATTTTTTACTATCTGAAATAGTCTAGACTCTAGACCATGATTGAACTTTCCAAACAAACTTCAAACGTATTACCAACGTTTACGCGAACGCCAGAAAAGAAAGTAAAACTCCACAAGATTTTATACCTTGATTTATAAATATACCTATATTTATAACTAATGCAAGATTTTTTTAAGACAAGTCACGCATATTCTTTATTTGATTGAAATATATTCGAACAGATTTTTGGCATTGAATGAAGCAATTTACAATGTTTTTGATCTTGATACTTTAATTTGTTTCCAAATAATTTGGTAAACTCTTTTTTCAACGCAAGGAGAGTGAGGGTTTCGAGACAATATATTAATATACTCATTTAACTGAACCTTCTATGTCAAAGTATCGCTATTGAAGGAAATTTGTTAGCTGTTGTGAACGTAATCCCCATATAGAGTTCCTTCTTAATGCTCGTGGAACTGTCGAATGTTTATTCTCCATGTATACAAAACCTACGAATGACAGTTTCTGAGATCCAATTTATCAGTGTTGTTGTATTTTTGCATACGATGTATTGTTTTTTACAGTAAAAAAATAAAACCATATAAACAACTGGCTTCGTACCCATCCTACTGTACATCAAGAGTTACACTTTTTTAAGTGACATTTGAATGAAGTAGCAGAAACGATATATGTGTCGACTCTAAAATATTGATGAACCGGTTCAAAATTCTCGATAATCAAACCGGTTTTCCGTAGCCTTTTTAATTGAGTGAAATGTATCTACGATACCACTGCAACAGGGATTATTACATTATTAAAAACACTAATTACATTTGTGCGACAGGTATGCGGACAAATGCCACCTGTAAAATGGACAAACAGGGAGCCGACGACGGTACGTAAAAGGGAAACTGTCAAATTCAATAAATTTCGTCAAGTTGAACCGCACGTATGATTATTACGATACATCAAAGGGATAATGTTTACACTTATGCTGAATGCCGCTAATAGAGTACTTCCCTGGGTGAATGCTATTCTCACGATACGCTTGCTTACATATGCTACTTGTACGGTCATAGTGCAAGACACATAAGGTGAATCCAAATTACCATATTAAAAATTTTACTGTATTTTGATTAAAACAATAGTAAAATTTTTATAAATTAAAGCAAAATTATTATATAAGAAATTATTAATTAAAGCGAAATTATTATATAAAAAAGTTATAAATTAAGGCAAAATTATAAATATTTTATGTCAATCTCGATGCCTTCAATCTGTCTAATATTATCCTCATCTTTAATAACCAAGCGCCATACTTTCACAACTCGCTAAGTGAACGTAAGTACTTACGCTCTATTTTCTTGTCTATGATTGGTGGATTTTCCTTGAAAGGCCGTCAATGATTGGCTGATGAACTTACGATCTCTTAACCTGTTTTGAAAGTATGGGCCCAAGCTCTCACTAGCCGCTCTCGGGGCACAACAATCGCTCACGCATAGCACCCCGTGGTCTGCATCAGCTGTCCTCAGGTCACCGGCGACAGCACGCCAAAGCTCTTTCCAGCTCCTTGAAATACATAAATTTGAAGATGGTCGAAAAGTTTCAAAGTTTCCTCCTTTAGTTTAGAACCATCAGTTTGAAGTTAGTTACAAAATGATGAAAACAAACATTCATCATCATTCATTCGTTCAAACAGATAGAATCATCGGTTAGTTTAGAATCATCAACTCGACACTGAATATTGCAGTGGAATGTTTATGCTATATGATATTGAATAACTAGAAAATAAACTCCGATATTACAAGGATGCTGTACTGTACAGAATAAAAAATATGCCAACAAAGCTAAACTGAATGTGACTGGACAAAATGAAAATTAAACATAAGACAGAGTTAAAGGTTCTTAAAATACGAATGCTTTGAGTACCCAATTATTAGGGATGAAATTTTAAATTTTACCAATTCAAACATATTAGTACTAGACCTGTGTTGCACTTACGCACCGTGTATGGTTCGAATGCTCACAAATTAATTTGGTTGTGGACTTACTGATACTCAATCGTTGCGTGAAATATTCCAATGATGCCATACAATACGAATGCTTTAAAGTCAATGTGAATACATCTTGAACTGTGGCATGAAACATGTTTATCCTGAAAATTCTATTCATACGAAGTGTGCATTTGCTTAACGGAGAATCTTTACACATAGGAACGCAATGTAATAATTACAAATGAGTGTTTCTATTAAATGCGTAATTGAGTATGAATGTTTATCGCGTTTCTTTCAATGAATGTATTGATATAACGGGAATCAAATGAATGCACAAAGGCAAGTTCATTTTGTGCGGTATGACTAGTGTCCTCCAATCCTTTACTGAAGCTTTTAAAACTGGACGCTGTGCGCTATAAAAGCGTGTTTCCTTACCAATTACCAAAGCTCCAAATTCAATGGATTGAACAGGAATTGAATTTCATATTGAAAATGATGCGCAATTCGGTCTGTTTTCGACCTTTTTGGGGTTGTGTTAGATGGTGCTGTTTAAAATGCTCCCGAAAGGCGAAATGATGTTTGCTACTTTAAATTGATGCTAGTAAGACCCGAAATTGATATAATTAAAAAATTCCGAGTCTTTACGGGTCGTTGGGTACGAAATTTAAGTCATGCGTTAAGCAAATATGTTCAGGATGATCAAATAATTTATACTGAATTTAGTTTCCAATACTTATCTGACATTGCTCCGAAGTTTCTTTAACAGAGTTAGTTCAAAATACCTAATATCAGATATTTTGTGGAAAATTACTATTCATTTGGAAATTAGATATTATGTTTTTTAGGAATTTTTCAAAAAAATTGCTCACCCTTTGCACTTTTGATTTTTGACCTAAAATCTCCGATGTGAAATAATTAACATAAAATAAAAAGCCTAATTACAACATACCTACAGTGCCGTACTACTTGCCGTAGTAACTTATTTTCACTAATCTACTCCACGATGGCGAACGATTCGACCGACTACAGAACGACCGTCCGCAAAAATAGCGGTTCGTAGTTCAGACAAGACTCGTCGTAATGTTAGTCGCTAACCATCTCATGACTCATTTTGAGTTGCTTTATGGGCACTTTGCTCTCCAAAAATGAAACAACAGAAGCGAGACGTTTAACGAGGGAAGCTCTACTCAACATCCTTATTATTATGAAGCTGTTTGTTGATCCACAACTGATGTTTTTCACAGACTAAGGCTGTTCATGAAGTCGTAAGACTTCTACGCTTGACTGTCTTAAGCATGGTAGTAAAAGCTTATGATCGCAATGTTAGTGTTGCTTTCACATGTAATAATATTCTCTTGGACTTCAGAACTCAGTCATTTGCATTTTACAGTGTATCAGCATAATATCGTAATAAATAAAATAATTTCAGAATAACTATAAAATATACTCAGCTTCTCAAAAAATTACCCAGAAATGTCCGAAATAAATTAAATTACGCTCCAGGAACTTTTACGCGTTTCTCAATCCAAGAAGATAAAAATTTTCAACGCAACCTCAGCGAGCCTGAGCTACCAGCAACACTTCAGAGCAATTATCGTACGTCTGGGGTCAACGGAAGCCACTGGGAAATGTCGTGCAAATTTTTATCTGTGACAGAGCAAGTCGTAATTTTGAAGCAAAAGTAACCATTCTCCCAGGTTATGACCTCCAACCGGATAAAAAATTCATGAACATGGGACCTTGAGATAGGAATTTTATATGAGACTTATAAAACTGTAATATCTTAAAATTATCTTTGATTTTTAACAGAAAAGTGAAGGCCAAATGCGCTTTGGCCGTGAAAATATGTCGTTATTCCATCCGAATAGATTTTAAAATATTTGTATTATTATTAACAATGAATTTAATAATTATTAATAATAAATAAAGTAGGAACGTCAAGTTATTAACGGAATCATCCTGATATATTTCATGTAGCTCATTAGTTGACTTGAATTCCCCTTCTCTGAATGAAGTTCATTCAATGAATAATGGAGCACACATGCAAATCTTGCGTGAACGTTTGTTAACATCCCCACTAGGATAATACTAAATATTTGCCAACAACTTATAACAAACGCGATATAAACTTTGAAATCAAATTTTGTTCTCGCATTAACATCAATGAAAAGCTTGAACTTTTCCAAAATTAATGAGTATAAATATTAAATATTCATATGACTAATCACTCTTACTTCATATGTGGTAATATATATTTCTAATTTTTCATCTTTTTCAAAAAATCTAAGTTTAGATAGAACGAACCATTGAATATCTTCATTTCAGTAGACGTAAATAATCAAGTTTATATCTCATTTTCCAAGTTAGACACCCACTCATCTGGGCTAAAAATCTCTTTTCTGAAAATGGCTGCAAGTCTTGGCCATATAGAGGAGCAATTCTCGTGAGTGCGAAGATATCCTAAATTTCAGTTTGATACGTCGCCACTCAACGGCACCACCGTCGGTTTTTCACTTAAAATCCCCCTTATAAACAAGGCTTGCAAAATATCATCACGAATTCTTTTTGAACGAAGCATTTAAAGAGGCGAGTTCATTTATTTTATAGGTGTTTGCTGGGCCGCTCGGCACTGGGCACTTTAGCGGCTCTCGAGACTATTTTTCTATCGGGAATGGGACGGTATTTTCAGGGGACGACAAGCGAGACAAATGACTGCGCTCCAGCTACCCTAGAATATTCTCATCACTTATTGCTGGATGGACTCCTCTGGAATAAAATGAACTAACTAAATGGTCGGGTGCAGAAATAAAACACTTCTGCCTGCGAATATATCAATTCAAGCTATGATTTTGTAAAAGAGTTTAGAATCATAATTTTTTAAATACATTTTTGAAGTCACTTACCCTAAATGCAATTTTCTATAGATGAGAAATTCTGCTCATGAAAAGCTTAAACAATCAAATTATTTTAATATGCAAATTGAAGTGAACCTCTACACTCCGGCCTACCTTCAACCTCCCCTGAAATACCAACTTTCGTCTATATAAATTCTAATTAAAGTTCTCAAAGCCATAGTTGCCGACAGACAATGCGATAAATATGCAATATTCATGCAATATGGCGGTGTAATAAATATCTTCCAATGCTCAAATTGTGGAACACGACATACAAGCCGTTCGTAAGAATTTCTGTTAGCATGAAAAGAACCTAATAATTTTTCATCATATAAACAATTGTACAGGGAATTACAACAAGATTCAAAAAAAGGAATTCATAGTTGAAATGTCAATCTCGTGGCACTCCAGAGAAAGAGTTTGAAAAATTATTTATACTCACGCGCAGCTATTCCCTTCTTAGAGCGAGAGATTAGAGGATAATTCAAGAAAACCAGACAACAGTTAAGATACATAACAATAACATATTTTATTTTCAGTACCGTCAGATGGTCAGTAGAACCTCATTTGTTTCTCATCTTCATGTAAGTAAAACCTTAAACAATGGAGGTTCAAATAAAAATAATCGTATGACAAATTATAGCTATAATTATTCCTGTGGTAAAAAATGATCATCTAACTAAAAAAGACACAACATTTTAACATAAA